AGTTTCTTCCACAATGGATAAATCTTTGTGTGTGTGTGTGTGTGTGTGTGTGTGTGTGTGTATGTGTGTGTGTGTGTGTGTGTGTATCTAAAATCTTCATTAGATAGGTTGTGTATCTTTTCTCTCACAAATGATATTTCTAGTACAGTTTTTTAAGAGAGATTATCAAATGTAGTTCAGAACCCACAGGCATGGTACCTTCATATTATTTTCATACCTGCAGAGAGAAGAAAGATGTTCTAACATGCCTTAAGGGTAGCTCTTGTCTCCTAAGTTGAGGATGAGTAAGCCTTCCTGGGTTTAAAAATTGTAGTAGGCACTGTCTAAAACTCTTTGTAGGCTAACAATTCCATTTAAAGTAACATTTATTATTGAACATTTACTGTGTGTATCAGGCACTTTTTTTTTTCTTTCCAGTTTTTACTGATTTTTTTTTTTTTCCCAAATCAACAATGGATAAATCTGAAACAAGAAGGAATTGGTTCTATTCAGGGGCCTTCTCCAGAGTCTGGGCTGAGCTTTATCTCTAGAAGTTAGAAGGTCATTTCCTGGAGATTTTATCTGCCAGCCCTGTACCATTGCCATTTTCAATGTCTTGTAGGTTTCTACGTGCAACATTTAAAAAAAAAATCTTTCCATTTTCTGATACCCTTTTTAATCTCCTTTTTCAGAGTACTGTAATTTTCAGTGTAGAAGTCTTTTACTTCCTTTGTTAGACTGACTCCTAGTTATTTCATTTTTTTGGATGTTACTGTGAAAGATGTTTCTCTAATTTCTTCTAGTGAATTTGTTATTCATGTACAGGAAAGCTGCTGATGTGGTGCATTCTATTTGCCTGTATCTTACTGAAGGTTTTTCTGTCTGTGTTCATTAGGAAAATAGGACTGTGGTTCACTTTTTTGATTGGATCCTTCTCTGGTTTTGGTATCAGGATAATGCTTGCCTCCAAGAATGACTTTGGGAGTATTGATTGCTTAAAATTCATTCAAGACTTAAAGTACCAACAACTTTGCTCAGACTAGAAGAAATTCAGGCATTGTTTTGGAATCTGCACTAACTACACATGCAGTGAGGACAGTATTATGCTAATACAGTTGATTTGCTGCTGCATTTGTCTCTTGTCGATTTTTAATAAACAGCAGTGCAACTAATATTTAGACATTTTTTATAGTATTATGTTGTCAGGCACAACCTTTTTTTTCTTTTCTTTTTTGTCTTTTTCCTTTTTATCGGTACCGGGGATTGCTCACAACTGCCTGCTTGCAAGGCAGGTGCTTATGCCGCTGAGCTAAATCCTAGCCCCTCCTTTTTTTCTTTTAAAACCATTTTATTCAAATATAGAAAGAAAGAAAAAAAAGATGAAAAAGAAAAAACTCCAACAAAATTTCAAAGCACATCAATGGGGGGGAACAATAAGAACATACATTGAGCATTGTCATCCCCAAGTCATTCACCCAGAGCACAAGACATCTGCCTTTAATTGTATGAACAATACCAGCACAAATCTGTCTCTTCAAAATTAGTAGTGTAACTCTTTTAACTAGTGTTTTTTTTGGTCTTTTTCCTTTTTATCAGTACCGGGAATCGAACTCACGACTGCCTGCTTACAAGGCAGGTGCTTACGCTGCTGAGCTAAATCCCCAGCCCCTTAACTAGTGTTTTTATATATACATATACATACACATACGTTTTTTCTTTCAGTTTGTCACACTAATGAAACATGATGTTTATGCATGTGTGTCCTATTTATTTCACTATTGAGTATGTTTTCAAGGAGACACAGCATTTTATTTCTCCTCATATCATTGGTGCTCCTTGTTTACCTGACTGCTGCTTCTTTAGTAAAGTCATTTTTGATATCAAAGTGATTCTCCTCAGGAATTTTCCACTGGCCATGTTGACAATAGTCCTTTGGTGTCTAGGTAGTTTGCTGCCAGAATAAGTTTATATTTATTTTATTTTTTTTTTAGAATAGGTTTAAAAGAACTGCCTTGGTCACCTTTCAGGAATTCTTGGTCCCAAACAGGGATATCATCTGTTCACTTCGGTCTCATCGTCCTTGGGAGGAGGAGGGTCATCCTTGTGGTGGGTACACCAATAAGTAACTTTGTTGTAAAATATGGCAGCATTAACATGTGGTAGAGGAACTGGGTCATCTCCTTCATCATCCATTCCCAAATCTTGCAGTGTAGTCTTGTCACAGATTGTTTGGCAATTTCAACATCAACTTCACATATCTCCTTTAGAACTCTGCAGCTTAATTGAAGGTACCTAGTGCCTACGAGTAATGCATTTATTCTTCTCAGCGAAGAAAGTCTTAGAGCAGTCGACCTTCTGGTGTTTGTTCTCTAAGAGGCCCGCAGGCCTGAGGTAGCAAATAAAGCCTGTATTTGATTTTTCATGTCCATTAATCTTTGTTTTATATGTCATTGGGTGTGCTGGTATTTGGTGCATATATATTTACGATTGTTATATCTTCCTCCTGGATTGTTGCCTTAAAACTTTACTCTTTCTTAATCAGGCTTGGTTCGAAATTCACTTTGTTTCATATAGAATAGCTATCTGTGCTTTTCTTTAGGTTACTATCACATGGAGCGTTGTTTTCCATCCTTTGACGATCAGTCTATGAAATTCTTTTAGAATTAAATGTATTTCTTGTATGCAACATATTATTGGATCTTACTTCTTGATCAGTTTTGCCAATCTCTTTCTTTTGATTGGTGAAATTCAGGCCATTAACATTGATGATTTTAAAATCTGATTTATCTTTGTCATGTTATTTTCCCTTTTATTCTTTTCAGTTAGCTGTTTGCGTTTGGTAGGTTCATTATGTTGGACTTCATGGCAGAGTTGTCCTTGGTATTTCTTTCTAGAATGTCCTGCAGAACATTTTGGAGTGCTGATTTGGTGGTCACTAATTTCTTCAAGTATTCTTTGTCATGGAAGTGTCTTATTTCTTCGACAGTTTTGAAAGATAGTTTTGTGGGATACATCAATCTAGGTTGGAGGAGGTTTTCTATAAGGATTTGATATCCTTCACTGCAATCTTCACTGAGGGTTTGTGTTGAGAAGTGTGGTGTGATTCTGATGGGCTCCTTTATAGTTGATTTGTTTCTTTCCTGTAACAGGTTTTAATATTCTGTTCTTGTATGAGTTTATAGAATCTTCACTATCATTTGCTTCAGTGTAAATTAAAATTTTTTTGGTAATGGCTAATTGAACTTTTATATATGCCTTACTTATCTCTATGTCAAAATCTTTTTCCATTTTTGGACAGTTTTTCTGTTATTGCTTTTGTGAACAGGTTTTCTTATGTTGCTTGCGCTATCTCCTGCTTTTTCATTGACTGATCAATCTTGTTTGCATCATCTAGCAGTTGTTGAATTGATGTTTTGTGATCCCTTGATACTTTTCAGAAATCTTTCTTTTTATGATTGCTAACCACAGTCCTGTTTTTATACCTGATCTTTTTTTGGTTGTTTAATCAGTACCCAGGATTGAACTCACGACTGCCTGCTTGCAAGGCAGGTGCTTATGCCACTGAGCTAAATCCCTAGCCCCTATACCTGATCTTCTGTTCTCACATTGGCTCATTCTGCTAAGCATATTTCAGTGCAATTTGTAATCTCCTGGGCATCTATTTAAATTGCTTTCATGGATTCTACTTTTTTGCTATGTTGGGAGTTAATGATGTCCATCATTTTTGTAAGCTCCTTTTTTTTCTTTTTAGCTTTGTGTCTTGAGTCACTTACCATATCTTTCACTATGGTCACCATCTGTGAAGTTATCTGAGAAATTATTTTTAATTTGATTTTCTTCTAGAACCTTGTCCATCTGCTTTGTTACCATTTCAGGTAATTGAATTGACCTCTGGGTTTGCCTCTGGTGAGCTGGAAGTCTTGGGTTGCATCTTGATTATGTGTCTTGCCTTTTTTTTTTTTTTTTAAGTTTAATTCTTGGGTTGATGTTCGTAAATTGCTTATGGCAAGTATCTTTATTGCTGGTATTTAGAACCTTTAGGAAATGACTACTCAGATGTCTTCCAGGCGTAACTGGCTTTTGGATTTGAGTCTGTTGCAAGATCCTACCTCTTCAGTTTATTGGTGATGAAGAGTTGCTGCGTGCTTGACCCAGCCCTGGTTCTTTGGCACTGGTAGATAGTATTTTTTATGACTCTTAGGACATCTCAGTCTTGGCATACCAGGAAGAACAGCTGATTAGAAAAATTATGTCCCCTTGGCTAAAGTACTACAAGGAACAGTAACAATAGCATAAAACACAGGCTGGAAAATAACCAAACCATGATAAGCATTAATTTCCCACCTTTAACTGTGAACTATATGTGTGGTTATATAATAATCAAAAACAAACCAGAAAATTGTATACAGTAAATATTTTTTCAGTATGGTGATTTTACCTCAGAGGAGAAAATTTAAAAAGCAGTTAAGGGGAAAAATACAGGAATAGAAAAGGAAGAGGTTAGAAGCAAGGCAGTAGGATAAAGGAAGAGTACACAAACTTCGGGAAACTGGTGAAGAAGGCAGTAGAGAAAAAAAGAAAAAAACCCAGCAGAACCGAAGGACAGCAAAAAACCATAATGTGTTTGCACTCATAGAAAAAGAAACAAAAATGAAAACCATGCCAAACAGAAATAAGAAAATTTTAAAAAGGAAGAAAATGAGGAAAAATGTCAACTTCAAAGCACAGGTCTGCTGTTACTGCTAGACCACACAGAGAACAGATCCAGGTTGATTAATCCCAGCAATCCAGCTGTAGATTTACAGGTGTGTGCGTGTGCACGTGTATAGTGAATAATCCACATGCAGTGCTCAGATCAGGGTGGTTGATACAACCTTTACCTCAGACATAACCATTTCTTGGTGCTGAGATGCTGGAGAACGTTCTGTGTTGTCGTCGAGGTGTCTTGCATGTAGTGACAAGCCCCTTGGATCCTTTCCCTGGTCCTCTTCTGAGCATCTCTTGCTCTCATGTCATTGCAGGTACTCTGTTCCACCCGAGCATGGAAAACGCCTGGAGCGCCTTGCCAAAGGTACCATTTTTCCTCAACATGTTAAGTAGGACCCACCAAGAAGCCGTGTTGCTGGCCCCAAAATACCCATTCTCTGTGGTCAGTGTGGTCTTTCATAGGCCACCAGGAGGGACTGAGTACAGCTGCAGGTTGCTCCTGTCACAGAGCAGCTTCAATCCTAGTCTTTGTGTGTTCTTTCCCAGAAGGGATTTAGTCCTTCCTTTGACGGTCACCTGAGTTCCCCTGAGCATCGGTTTCTTTGGCCAGAAAAGTACAAGAGTTATATAATTTCTTTCTTTCTTTTTTTTGGTGCCGGGGATTGAACTCGCGACCTGATGTTTGCCAAGCAGGCACTTATACCGTTGAGGTAAACCCCTGGCAAAAGTTGTATTAAGTATAGTTTCTCTGCCAAAACCTCAGATGTTAAAAGTAAAAATTGACTTAGTGTTTGTTTTTTTTTTTAAAGTGGACCATGACAGAATTGTACATTCAGAATTTTTTTTCACGCGTCAGGTTAGATTGTGTTGTAGATATGTTATTGACAAAAGACGGAGGACACAGTCTCAATCTTTTAGGACTGCAGAAAGTCCTAGTTTCAAAGCTGTGTAAGAATAGAGGGACCTTGAATGATCTCAGTTTCCACTGGCGAATATTAGAACCCACCCAGAGCCAGAAGCCTCCTTGCACATCAGGTTGATGATTTGTCCTGTTTATCAGCCCGATGAAATCCACAGATGAAGTGACGGAAGTGTTACAGTCAGTGGAGGAACACCATGTTAATTCTGTCCTCTGGTCTGTTTAAACAGGCTTTTTCCCAGGAAGTGCTCAAAGCTGTGAGGCTTTTCTTCGCCATAAGATGACCCTGATATCCCCTTTAATGCTGAAGAAATACGGCATTCCTTTTGACAAGGTGAGCTGGTGTGACGGACAGAGTCCTTAGACTTCCATAGAAACCACCTTTCTGGTCTTTGGACTTTATTCTGGTTCATCACTCTTTCCCTCTGATCTGCAAGGGGAGACTTTGATCTAAAGTGGCTAGTGTGCCTTCACACTGCAAAGGGAAGAGTCAGGTTCTCTGCAGTGTGTTAATTGGAAGGAGTGGTTGATTATAGCTGTGATGTACTTGTGATGTGTGAGGCTTTGCGTTTTATACAAGACAGCAAAACTCCAGTGATTTCTCTCTCTCTCTCTCTTTTTTTTGTACTGGGGATCAAACTCATGACCTTGCGCTTGCCAGGCAGGCACTTGTTTCACTGAGCTATATCCCTAGCCGAAAACCCCAGTAATTTTAGAACCTGCCCTTGGTTGCCCAGCTATGTGGTTCAGACCTGGAATTCAGGAGTTGAGTTCTGTAGATTTCTCCTGTGTGGGGGAGCTCTTTTAAATCTGTTCTTGTTCAGGTGACTCAAGAAGCTGGCGAGTTTATGATCACTTTCCCTTATGGTTACCATGCTGGTTTTAACCATGGCTTTAACTGTGCGGAATCTACCAACTTTGCTACACGTCGATGGATTGAATATGGCAAACAAGCTGTATTGGTAAGTTTACTTGATAGCTTCCTATAACCCTACAACTAAGACAGTGTAGTTGAACAAATTCTGTTTTTTCCCCAGTACTGGTGATTTAACTTACACACTTCACATTGAACTTCTTCCCAGCACTTTTCATTTTTGGTTTTGAGATAAGTTCCCACTGAGTTCCCCAGGCAGGACTCCTTGCAGTCCACCTATCTCAGCCTCACAAGTGTTGGGACTTTAAACATATTTGAGTGTGTGTGCTAGTGGATAAATGCTTGTTGGGTATATTGAATAGTATCAAAACATTTCTTAGAGCTGCTGGAATTTGAAAACAAAATAGGCCAGGAATGTATAAAGTGTGAGTAGTTTGTGTTTATAAATAATATAAATGAGTCTAGGCATGGGCTGACCATGGTGACACCTACCTGTAATCCCATCATTTTTAGAGGCTGAGGCAGGAGTATTACAAGTTTGAGCCCAACCTGGTAATGTTTATTGAGATCCTGTTTCAAAATTTAAAAAAACCTAAAAACAGCTAGAGATGTAATTTATGCAAAAGCCCTGGGTTTGCTCCTAGTACCACCAAAAGAATTTAAAAAATTTTATTTTAAAATGTGTTTTGCTTTGAGAAGTATAAAGTGAGGTTATACTTTTAAGTTCATTTGCCTTTAAGCCGTACATACATACAGTATTTCTTGCAGTGGGCATTCTGAGATTTCTCTGTTGAGCGATTCTTAGGGTTTTACTTTTAACTGTGAGAAGCAATGGGGCTGGATCTTTGACCCAGAATAATGATGTTGCATGTGTGGCCCTGAGATGACTGACGAACATGAAGGCACCTAAGTGCAGAGCCGAGTGTCTAACCGTTCTCCACATATCTCCTCGGTGCCAGGTGGCGTCGCCTCTGTGCTATGCAGTCTGTGTCCTTGGTTGCTGCTTTCTGATGTGTAGGGCTATGCAAGGATGGTGCACAGTACCCTGACCTCTGAACGAAAACAGCTTTTTAAGCCAGATCGTAGTTTTTCTGCTTGGAGGGGGAGGTGCCACATGGGATGAGGTGGAAGTCAACAAGGTAGCCTTCACCTGAAGGTTGTTTGTGACAGTGCTCCTGCAGAAAGGATATGGTGAAGATCTCCATGGATGTGTTTGTGAGGAAGTTCCAGCCAGAAAGGTACAAACTTTGGAAAGCTGGCAAGGACAGCGCGGTCATCGACCACACTCTGCCTACTCCAGAAGCCGCTGAGTTTCTCAAAGAGTGTGAACTACCACCAAGAGCCGGGAGTGAAGAGGAGTGCCCTGAAGAGGACATGGAAGGGGTGGAGGACGGAGAGGAGGGAGACCTGAAGAGAAGGTAACAGGCAGCCCGTTTTGGGCCTGGCTCTTGGCGAAGGGGTTGGGACAGCTCCCACAAGCTCCAGAGAGGCTGTTCCAAAGTGGGGTGTTGGAATCCTGTCCAAGGGGGGTTTCTTGGTGTAGAGCCAGTGATTTGCCATTGCTTCCTTGTAACTCTTACGCAGGAATGAGGACAGTAAATCTGCAGTCTTTGGGAGCAAGGGGCAAGACTCTTCTTATGCCAGAAAAGGCCATTTTTCACTTCATATTGGTGTTTTTTTTTTCTCCTTGTCTTTTTTTTGGGGGGGGGGGCGCGATACTGGGGATTGAATTTACAACTTTGTACTTGCCAGACAGGCGCTTGTATTGCTGAGCTAAATCTCTGACCCTTTCCTTTGTCTTTTTTTTTTTTTTTTTGTCTTTTTCCTTTTTATCGGTACCGGGGATCCAAGTCACGACTGCCTGCTTGCAAGGCAGGCGCTTATGCCGCTGAGCTAAATCCTCAGCCACTCCTTTGTCTTTTTGAGACAGAGTTTTGCTATGGAAACTATGGAGTTCAGGCTGCCCTTGAACTCACTTTGTAACCCAGACTGGTCTTGGACTCACAGTGATCCTCCTGCCTTACCTTTCCAAGTGCTGGGATTACAGGCATGTGCCATCATGCCTGGCGCAGTTTTTTTTTTTAAAGGAGAGAGAGGTGCCAGGAACAAGACTCAGTTGTGTAAGAGTAATAGATTGTGTTCAAAAGAGATTATAAGTTGGCGTTGTCAGAGTCTGAGGCAGAAGATCTGTGTTCTGAGAAGAGTTTGACCTAGGCCATGCCATGTTGGAAAGGTAGGAGGGCTATTTATGGGATACCTTGTGTGCCTTTTTTCAATCCTCACAGCAAATCTTATACTTTGCATGTGATGGAATTAGCAATAAGAGGCAGCTTGAGTTTCAAGTCAGACCACTCAGGACCTGGCCATTTATTGTGCGTTGTGTGTGGACATGTGTGAATGTTTTGGTATGTGGGGTCTTACAGGATTTACGCTCTCCCTCACAGCCTGGCCAAGCATCGTATAGGAACAAAGAGGCACCGGGTTTGTCTGGAAATACCACAGGAGGTGAGTCAGAGTGACCTGTTCCTCAAGGAGGAGCTGAGCTCTGGCCAGTATGAGATGACGGAGTGCCAGGCCACACTTGCTCCCGTGAGGCCCACCCACAACTCTGTGCGGCAAGTTGAGGATGGTCTACCCTTCCCAGGTGAGTTAAAACTGTGGTCATCACAATGCTGACGTTTGTCTATTGTATTGAGAGAGCCACATCTGAGCAGACTCAGAAGTGGATTGTGAGAAGTGCTTTGCTTAGAAGTATGCAGGGGGCAAGGGGCTGGGGATATAGCTCAGCGGCATAAGTACCTGCCTTGCAAGCAGGCGGTCGTGAGTTCGATCCCCGGTACCGATAAAAATGAAAAAGACAAAAAAAAAAAAAAAAAAAAAAAAAAAAAAAAAAAAGAAGTATGCAGGGGGAATGCTGATGGCTTTGCTGGTCACTGTTAGCAGATGGCCTGGGCAGTTGCAGAGTAGTCTGCTTTATGAGGGGGTACCAGGAATCAAACTTTGTGCTTGCCAGGCAGGCACTTGTGCCACTGAGCTATATCCCGGGCCTTGGCCTGCCATTTTAAAGAGTTTGGTCTCTTGAAAACTTGAGACATTTGTATTTTAAGAAGAAGAGTAGTATAAAGCATAGTGGCTCATAGCTGGAATACCAGGTTGAGATAAGACAATTGAAAGTAAAATTTAAGCTCAATCTGGGCAGTTTAGTGATTTAATGAGATCTTGTCTTAAAATTTTAAAAAGGACCAGAGATGTAGCTTAGTGTGAACACCTAGGTTCAATGACTAATACTAGAGGGAAAAAAAACGTGGCCACCAGATGGTCATTGAGACTAGGTTTGTTAGGGAGAGGCTTGCCTCATTCTTATTCAGGCTTGGAGAAATGAGTTGCCGATGCTGTGGTGTGGCTGCTGACTGTACCACAGAGTGTATCTGCTGTCAGCCAGGTAGCACTGTGCTCTCAGAGCCTGTTCAGACTGGCTGCTCCTGAGCAGGCTTACTAGCATGAGTAGCTAGGTCAGTGCCAGGCTCAGGACTGTAGGTCCTGCAGGAGACCTGGAAGGAAGTGGCAAGCTCTGCTTGCTGAATCTTGTTATGTGGAAGTGCTACCCCGTCTTGTACCCAAGGGTTGTGCCTGGGAGTGCTGTAATGTGGCAGTATCCTCACAGACAGGAAGAAACTGGAGGCAGAGACAGACCAGTGAGCCATGATCACACCCTGGGATACAGAGCTAGGATTTGAAGCCAGGTCTCACTTGCATCTGTCCCATGTTCTTTGTATTTTCCCACTGCATCTTTGTCAACTTGACATATACAAGAGGAAATGTGTTCATTATTTCAGATTACTCTGACTCTGCTGAAGTCAAATTCGAAGAGCTCAAGAACGTCAAACTAGAAGAGGAAGATGAAGAGGAAGAACAAGAGGCAGCTGCCCTCGATCTTTCTGTAAATCCTGCTTCTATAACTGGACGCCTGGTCTTCTCGGGTTCCAAAAAGAAATCATCTTCTAGCCTGGGCTCCAGTTCTCGGGATTCTGTTTCTTCTGATTCGGAAACCAGTGAGCCCCTCTCCTGCCAAGCTGAAGGGCAAACGGGAGTTCTTACTGTGCACAGCTATGCCAGAGGCGATGGCAGGGTCACCGTGGCACAGCCGTGCACAAGGAAGAAAGGCAGTGCCCCCAGAAGTATCAGCGAGCGGGAGCTGGCTGAGGTACAGTCTCTCGGCACTCGGGTGGAGGCAGCTGCCCAGAGGCACCTAGTGCAGGGGAGGTGGGCCTGTGGCAAGGAGTTGCTGCAGCTGTCCAGGAAGCCAGAGCGACCCCTCTCTTCAGTGCCCCCAGCCACTTTGGTTGTGTCAGACAGGAAACCTGATGACATGCATTGTCTTACAGCTTGTTCTTTGCCAGCAGTTGGTCCCAAGGATTGCATTACAGGTGTCTCAGTGACAGCTGTAGATAGCCACAGTCCTGTGACAGATGTATTGACACTAAAAATCTGCGTATTTCTAGTGTTTCCAATAATCCTTGTTTTCTAGTTGACTCCCCACTTGTTTTTAATATTCGTAGACTTCTTTTTGTCTCTTGTCTCTGTAAGGGCTGAGTTTCTGTTACAGTCCTTTTTACCATGTGAATGTTCTTCCCTTTACACAATGGTTGCAGGCTAATGAGCTGGTAACCATCATGTTTCTTTCTCATTGCCTCTGATTGGTGCCCTCTCACCTCTTGTGGAGGTTTCCACAAGAGAGCAGATTTCTGCTTGTAAATTCCATTCGTTATGCTTATAGCTGTTACCTGACATTTCTTCCTCACAGCTACCTTGTTGATCATCTGTGGTTCCTCAGTATATCCTATCCTATTGCTACCTCCTCCTGACTTTCTTCCTTCAGCTCGTTGGAATCATACTTAGTTAGCGCATTACTGCTAAATTAATTGTATTAGACTAAAAAATTTTTTTTTCGATGATGCCAAGAGCCAGTAACACCCATCTCTTTTTTTCTTCCCAGTTTGGACCCATTTAAGTGATAGTTACAAGAACTGGGCATGGAGAGCTTAGACTGTCACTTCATTAACAGTTAGTATGATTGAACAAAGTGTCTTTTAACCTGTGACCAAATGGCCCTGGTACTCATTTACTCTCAGTTGTATAAGTGGTCTCCCTTGTCCTAGGCCCTCTTTGGTGTTCTCAGGGCCTTATAGGGCAGAGCATTTGCCACATAGCTTTCCTGTGGAAGGGCACCCCAGAATGAGTTCTTCTGCAAAGGGCAGGTCATGGTTAAATAATGAACATTTAGCTTGGTGGTCTAGGAGGAGAAGCCAGGAGGGCTTTCATAGGGAAATCTGCAGGGAGAGGGGGCTTCTCCTTAGGTCTCCCCCACTTTCCTGATTTCTTTTCCTTTCTGTGTGAGTTTGTTAGCTATAGCCTGATGGAATTGCCCTCCTTCGCTCCATCACCAGCCATCCCTACACCCCAGCATGGGCTGCCTGCTTCATACTGTTTAACATTCTCCAGGTCTTAGCTCTTTGGCCTATTTACGCTCATTTGTAATCATATTTTGCCCATCTACTGTGTGCTGTTACTGTGCTGTCAAATTCAGAAGGCCCTTGAGAACTAGAAGAGTGGACAGACAGGACTACACCATCCCCTCCTGATGGGTGATGTGTAGCACAAGGTGGCAGAGCTGGAAGTTTAGCTTGTGACTGGCGAGGAGTCTGGGAAGGCTACAGAAGGAGCATTGTGGTCTGGCCTGAGGTTACTGTGCAAGGTGAATAGAATGAAATGAGCAAGAATGGGAGAGGAGGATGCTTTATGTATTGATGATGGCCCATGCCAGTTTTAAAGCACAATGGGAGTTTACAAAGGTTTTAGTGTTTTTTATTTTGTTTTGTTTGAGATGGGGTCTCACTCTGTAATTTCTGTCTGGCTTTGAATTCATTATGTAGTCCAGGTTGGCCTTGAATTTGGGATGGTCCTCCTGTTTCAGCTTCCTGAATAAGTAATCATGGCAAGATCCTGACAAGTGGGATGACAGGCATGCACCACCACATCTGGATGGTAAAGGTTTTGTTTTCAGCATATAGTACTGGAAGGAGCCTTGTGACAAAGAGGGTGTCAAATGCTGGACTATGGACGAATCTGCCTTATGTGCTCAAAACAATTTGACTTTAGGGTTGGGGAGGAGCCAAAGGTTTCCCTCCATCTGCATTTTGGAATTGAAAACCTCATGCTACATGGTTTTAAGTGCAAATAAAAAAAGGCTAAGTGAGTAGTGGAAATACTCATCACTTGGCTTTAATAGTTGTCAAGATCTTGCCATGATTGCTTTACTCATTCTGTTTTTATTCCCTGATGTGGTTTTACCATTCCCTGTGTGTATGGTACTGGAGATCAAGTATGGGACTCTACCACTGAGTTACTTTTCCAGCCCTTTTTTATTTTTTTGAGACAGGATGTTATGAAGTTTCCTAGGCAAGCCTCAAACTTGTGATCCTCCTGCTTCTGCATTCTAAGTAGCTGGGATCAAAGATGTGCTCCATTGTGCCTAGCTTGCAGAAATATTTTATTTTATTTATATTTTTGGTGGTAACAGGGTTTGAATTCATGACCTCATGCTTGCCAGGCTGGTGCTTAAGCCACTGAGCTAAATACCTGGCCTCTGCCGAGATATTTTAGTGGGATCTTTTTTTTTTTTTTTTAATTGGTACCAGGGATTGAACTCACGACTGCCTCTTTGCAAGGCAGGCACTTATGCCACTGAGCTAAATCCCCAGTCCTTCTTCCCTACTTTAGTATGTATTTCAAAAAGCAAGGGCATTTTCTTAGTCATGCTGCTATTATTATACCTAAAAAAATTATTAAAATTTTTTAGCATAATGTAATATCTAGCTCATAATGCATTTTGCCCAATTGTCTTAAAATATAGTTACAGTTGTTTCATTTGAATTAAGTCAAAGCTCACTCCTTATATTTGTTCATGTTTGTCTTCATATTCCTTAATCTTAGGACAGTGTTCTTTTGCTCCCCAGACTGTTGGTTTGCTCAAACTGTCTTAAAGCTCTGTGCTAGTGTTTTGGGAGTTCATTCTGGAAGCATGTATAGGTTTTTGGAGAGAGAAGGGAGGAAAAATTAAAAACATTAAATAGGTGAAATTACAGTTTTTATCTCCTGTGTTGTCTGCATTATTTGAACATTTTAAATTGGATTAACTTTTATTTTTTTTCATTAATATTTGTTTGGTGCTAGAGACTGAATCTTGGGCATTGCAGATGCCAAGCACACACTTGTCCACTAAGCTACACTTGGAGCCCAGCTTATTTTTATAATTAAATACTTCTACTTCAGGAAAGGAAGAAAAAAAAGATATAAAACAAGGAAATCAATTAGGAACTATTTCCTCAGCTTAGAGAGGTAGTGAGAACCCAGCGGGGCAGTGGTAACAAGCATGAAGGTGCCAGACAGACTTGAGAGCTTAGAAGGCAGCAGCATGGAGCTGGGGACTGTTGTGAGGGTTGACTCAGACCAGCAAGTTTTTGGCTGGGATCTGTAAAGGGTGGAGGTTGGAAGAGAACTGAATGAAGTGGACCACAGTGCTACTGCATGTCTCTGATCCCAGCTACTCAGAAGGCTGAAGTGGGAGGATCACAAGTAGGACCCTGTCTCAAACCAGGAAAGGTTGGAAAGGTTGGAGGTATCGGTCAGTAGAGTGCTTGCCTACAATGCAAGAGAACCTGGGTTTAATTATTAGTACCAAAGAAAAAAAGGTAGAATGTGACTGTGAAGGGCTTTGTGTGCTGGTCAGTAAGAAGGTTTGGTTCTTGACCTGTGAGGTAGGCAGGCCGCCGTATGTGGACTTGATTCTCAGAAGGAACCTGAAGGTGTGTGTGGAAGAGCACGTGCGTTGGTTGTGGAACTGTGTCCACAGGATTAATGGAGGCAGATGGTTCAGATGAGAGTGAGAAGCAGCAGCCAGACATTGCGTGAATGAAGAGAGAGTGGTGTGGGCAGTATTTTCTGGGGAGGAAAATGATTAAGATGGTGGGGGTTATGGCCAGTGAGACCTTGTTTGAAAGGACACATGTGCCAAGTGGAGAACTGAAGATAGTGGGATTGGATCGTGGATCTCTAAGGAGGTAGTGAAAAGGGAGTAGAATCCCAGAGGGATAGGACAAGAGGGGAGAACCACAGAAAGGGCTTTTTTTGGTTTGTTATTGGTGATTCTGGGGACTGATCCCAGGGCCTTGCACATGCTAGGAAAGTCCTTTTCCCCTGAGTTCCATCTTCACTTGGGTATTTTTAAAAATGTGGTAGAATACGCATGATAAACAATGGATTATTTTAGTTAGCCTATTTTTTGGTGTGCCAATCAGTGGCAGTGTTTTATGCCCTTGTGTGACCTTCACCAGAATATGTTTAGTTTTATGGTGGGAAGAGACACAGGGATTGACTCTGATGGTCTCCTGATAATCAGATACCTCTGTGTGACTCAGTCCTTGGCAGAAGCCACACTAGGCTTCTTTACTGTTGTCTGTCTGGTTACATTTCTCTTTCAAGAACCTGCAGTATTTTACTTTTAGGTGTAGATGTGTATAGTGGAAGTGTTTGTAGGCTTGTGAAGGAGAGAGACTGTAGAAGCCAGACTCTGTACTGTCTTCATTCTCCTTTCTTTTTTTTTTTTTTTTTTTTTTTGGTCTTTTTTCTTTTCATCGGTACCAGGGATCGAACTCACAACTGCCTGCTTGTAAGGCAGGCGCTTATGCCGCTGAGCTAAATCCCCAGCCCCATTCTCCTTTCTTGACATCAGCATGATCCTCCAGGCTTAGCCCGTGAGCACTCTGTAATTGTGAACTGTGTCTGGAAGGCCAGGTTTGTTTTATTAAGATACTAAGCTCCGGACTGGAATGTAGAATGGGAGACTAACAGGCATGGGGTCAGAAGTGGAACAACTTTGTTCCATCCGTGGTGAGATCTGATAGTTTGTCTTTATTTAAAAGCAGCTGGGCCCCTTAGAGCACCCTTGTGTGTGCATTCCTCTTCCTATCACTGTAGGATCCCCAAACTGTAACTGGGGCTATGTGCTGTGAGGGCCATTGTCTGTGGCAAGGGCCTTTTTTAAGGCAGTGTGGTCAATTGCAGTTTGGGTGAGAAAATCCTGGTGATACACTGCTAAAGCATTAGAGCTGTAGGGTTTTCATCTGTAGAGTGAGCTACTGCTGCTGCTGAAGATTTTGATAGTTTGAGCTACTTTGGAGAATTAAGTTTCTAAAACAAGGCTAGAGAAAAAAGCATCAGGGACATAGACCTTGACTCTGGGTACCAGATGTTGCAAGAAGGAACAGAGAATACTGGAGCTTTGAGCTCCAGCTTTCCCTCAGAGCTGGCCCTGAAATATCTTACACCTCCCTGATCCTATCTGCACAAGGAGCTATGGGGGCAGGCTCCTGAGCCCTGCTTACTGTGGTGTTGTCATAGTGACTCAGGCTCACATAGTTAGGTACTTGAACAAGGATTTGAACCAGCACATCCTGTTACATACTGAGGGAATTTAGAGTTTGGAGCACATTCTAGGGGGAAAGAAGATGTCATTGCAGAAGAAATATGGAATAGATCTAACCATCTGAGTCAGAGGCAGCAGGATGGTGGAGGTCAGAGCACCTGGCTTCACACTGGGACACCTGGTTTCTCTCTGGCTGGACTGCATGCTCCTTGAAGTTAGAGATTATCTCTCATCCATCAGTGTGCTTTGAGGGGACTATACTCAGTGCCCTGGGTCCATATGCTGGGTAGATGGGAGGCAGTTTGAACAAGCAGATAATGTGTGAAGGCCTAGGGTCCTTTCCCCAAGCTGCAGTGTGCTGTTCTTGATCTCTTTTAATACCTGGATCTAGAAAATGTTCTGTGTACTCTCCCATCCTGCATTAGTTGTCTATTGCTGCTGTAACAAGTTACCACAAACTTAAGGCTTCAGACAACACATATTTATCACTTTACAATTCTTGGGTTCCTAAGTTCAGGACATTAACAGGAGCCATTGTCTCAGTTAACAAAAGAAAGCCAGCCAGCAAGTGTAAATATGTAAATGTGCTTTACTGGCTTGTGTAGGTTGGGTTATATGCTTCTAAATTCATTCACATGTTAACACCATCAAAGAAATTTGATAGAAACATGTCCAAGCTACTTGCAAAGGTGGGGCAGGTGGTTTGGGACTGGTTCAAGACTAGCCTAGACCAAACAGCTGGAGATGTAGCTCAGTGTAGAGCGTGTGTCTGGCATGTGTAGTATTATAATCCCAAATATTGAGTTTAGTCATCGTAAGTACTGTAATCTTCTTTCTAGTTTTACAGTCCAAAAGGTTGTATTTGTAATCCCATTGAGACGTCATTGGAATCCCAGCAAGTTAATTTTAATCTAACGCCACCAGTGCAACCCACGGCAAGAGTAAAGTCACCAGGACATGTTCCAAGTTAAGGGCAACCAAGGAGTCCTAGGTCCAGTCCTCATGAGGACATGGGGACAAAGGCCTTGATCCTAGACCTCTCCCAGAATTTATTATCTTGTGAAGAAGGGGGGTGGCTCAGGGGTGAGTGACAGTGAGCATGACAGGGATTAGGTGAGTAACTTGAGCTGGCCAGCCAGGTAGGAGAAAGGCATCTCTGTAAATTGCAGGGATTAAGATATGCAGAAGGATCAATTCACATAATCTAAGGTAGCAACTAAATTGTTGTGGAAGGCTATGGCTTTAGTTTTTGATATGTAAACTCTCATGCTCTGGGGAGTCATAGCCTCTTTACCTTGAGGCTCATACCCAGTTGACATTCCTGCAGCTGATTGGCTCTATCATCATATCTTTTACAGAGCACTATGCGAGGAAACAGGAGACTGACTGTTGGCTTTAGAGATTACGTACCAGTACCTGGCTAGCCTTATTTGCAATGTTTAGAGCCAGTTGAAGAGAGAAGAAAATACCATAGCCTGCTTTCTTCATATCAGTATAAAGAAATAAGTCTCGGGGGTTGGGGATTTAGCTCAATGGCCTAAGCACCTGCCTTGCAAGTAGGCGGTCATGAGTTCGATCCCCGGTACCGATCAAAAAATAAAAAAAAAAAAAGAAACAAGTCTCCCACTAACGAAAGTCGGAGTCACTGGGGTTGTTTCCCACATGTGGGGCCCTGAATTCAATCTCCAACATCACCAAAAACCCCCCAAAACAAAAACCATTGACAAATAAGGGTTTCTAGTGTGTTCTAGCCAAAGAACCCTTTAAATGAAGCCTTACTCATTTGAAGAATAGAAATGAAGAGCAAAGATCTTCTGGTTGGATGGGTGCGGTGCCCAGATCCTTTTCTGTTTATTCCAGGAGAAGCTCCTGGGGGACCTCCCTGATGCACATTTTTTGTTTGTTTTTTTGCCATCGTGGGGATCAAACCCAGCATCTCCTGTATGTTAGGCAAGTGCTGTGCTGTTGAGCTACAAGCTGGCACTTTAGACAGTACATAATACTGCAAGTCTCACCGAGAGCTGAAAGTCTTCGTGGCCAGCAGTAGTAGCAGATTCCTAAAGCTTCACTTCATCTTGTTCCTACATTCTTGTTGCGTCATGTGGCTTCTGTGAACCCAGATCACATCCTGTCAGTGTATCAGTCATTTCTGAATGCCTGCCTTTTCCCAGCAGGCCTTTGTTTACCATAGGTGCTCAGTAGACATTGGTTGAATGGACTGGCAAGTGAGCACAGAAACCTGTTGGTAAAGTCTATTTTTAATTTTTCGGGTAAAGTATATATATGCCATGTACAGGCTCTGTTGAGTCTGTGAATGGCTTAGCGCAGTTTTTATTGTCTTGAAATCCCTAGTGGGGTCCTAAAGCCCTGGGGTATGGTTCAGTCACATAGGAGAGTCTTTGGGCCTAGGAACCTTCTCTGAAATAACACTGCAGTGCCATCCTTGTGTGTAGCACTCTGAGGCATTAATGTTTGTCACCACTGCAAAGTGGCCTCCCTCCAGGCCTTATTTCCTCACTTAATGAGTTTTACCAACGCTGTGTCTCCTAATGTCAGTATAACTGAGTTTTAAGTATGTTGATTAAAAAGAAATTCTTATGTAGTATCACTGAGCAATCCTATATGGCTTAAACCTAATTGTATTTGCTGTGGTGTTACATAAATGCAGTGTTAAGTCAGCCTACATTGCAGGTAGGCCAGAGTTTTAGATAATACTCTCCTGCTTGATATCTTGCCATGATTCACTGAGGAATAAACGAGATCCCTGAGAGCTGATCTCTGTGTAAGGAGAGAGAAACTGGTCTGTTTTTCTTGAAACAGTTGAGGTACCCCCACCCTTGTGGATGTCTGTATATTGCCCCTGGATGGCCCTGCTGCCTGCCACATTGTTTCAGTTGTTACTGTCTGGTCTAAGTAAGGGACAGCTGGGCTCTTTGGGGGCTCTCAAAGTGTCTCATGGCAACCAGCGAAGATCTGTGTCTTTCCTTTAGAGCTGGAACTGGTTTAGGTTTATTTTTGGTGTATTTGTTTAAGGCTGTTCCAGAACCCACACTTAGGTACAGGTTTTGCCTTAAAAATTTTAAGTTAGCCTGGTGTAGACTAGACTAGTTTGCATGGTACTGTCATATGGCTTTTGTGAAGACAGGTGTTTTTGTGTTTGGTTTTCTTTCTCTGTGCTTCTGTCTCTCCCTGTGTTTTTTTCTGTAACACTGACCTTCCCTGTATGCCAAGTTGAATTCACGTTGATGTCCTCTGCTTTGCCCAGGTTGCAGATGAATACATGTTTTCCCTGGAGGAGAATAAGAAGTCCAAGGGTCGCCGTCAGCCCTTAAGCAAGCTCCCGAGGCATCATCCGCTTGTGTTGCAGGAGTGCATCAGTGACGATGGTAAGTGGGGGTCTCCTCTCCATAAGGAGGAAAGCAGGCACCATCTGGGGCTTATAGGACATAACAAGGCCAAACAGATGGGTAAGAGCGGCCTTGTGGCGTGGCTGTTCTTCTAGATACTCCACATAGAGGAAGGATTTCCTTTTATATCTCATTTGCTCATCAGATTTCATTATTAGCTTAAGTATCATAGAAAATACCTGCTGCAGGATGACTGCATGCAGGTTCTTTCCTTTCTTGAGGCACAAGACTGACTTTTCAGGATAACAAGTTCTGTCAACCATGTCAAGACCATGTTGAATTTGTAGGTGCAAAACTAAGGTATGATAGTGGCGTCAGAGTCCTCACAGGGGAGTGATACAACTTACGGGCAAACTAAAGAAAGAAGAAATGCCAGTGTAGGCAGAGGGGCACCATGAGTCACCATGGTGAATAGAAACAGGAGTGTGTATCTGTGCAGATGAACTGTCCTCTGCTCGTTTGCTAGAATTCAAGGACACGATTAGGGACTGACTGAGGTAGGAGGAGTGGAAAAAGGTTGTGTCATGGGTCATGACCATGGTGCTTCGAGTGGAGACATTTTTCACAGGACTCGGGAGCCATTGAAGTATTTTAAGTAGAGAAGTAGAAAAGCAGATTGACATTTGAAAGATCACCCCTAGTGCTGGCTCCTTGGAGGATGCTTTGAAAAGACCATGGGCTTTCATAATGGTGTGTTTGAGATACGGTGATCTGAATAGGATGGCTTTGGTAGAAATAACAGAAGGGAATGTTGTATGGAGAAAGCTACCTGAATTTGTGCTGGGTGTTCTGTCTTTTTGAAATAAAGAAATTGAGCTAGGCATGATACACATGCCTATAATTCTAGCACTCAGGAGGCTGAGGCAGGAGTTTCTAAGGCCAGTCTGGAATCTTAGCACTCTGGGAGGCTGAAGCAGGTGGATTACAAGTTTAAGCCCAGCCTGGGCAACTGGTGAGCTCCTGTCTCAAAATTAAAACAACAACAAACATTATTTTTAAATAAGCAAAGGAATACATATCAGTGTGAAGGTCTGCAGTGCCAGATGTTGATACATGCACACACGCACACAAACGACTATGGATCTGTGAGAGTCATCAGTAAGAGCATGTTGATGGACTCCCTGGTTTGTAGTTGGAAAGTCCCCTGAGTTTGTACCCTAGTCTAGCTGGAGCTTCAGCTTCGTTGCATGAACCTTTCCCTTTAATGCTTTGATGTAACACAGATTGTAGAAAATTTGAAAATCCCAAAAAGTTACCTGTACACGTATCCTCCATCCCTGGTTTTTCTAGACATATGTAAATTATGTCCATGTGTGTGTTTTTCCATGTATGTCTTTTTGACATAATGTAATTGAGCTAGCTGTTGTGGTACATGCCTATATAACCATTCAGGAGGCAGGAGTTTAGACCAGTCTGAAGCACATAGCAAAACTGTCTTAAAAAAAGCAACAAAATAAATAAAAATAATAAAAGGATGTAATTCAGATTGTAATATAACCTCTGAATTTGTGACAAGAATGCTCAGATTTGGCTAGTTGAAGTGTTTGGAGACACTGTTTGCTGTGTCTGTATGTATTTGTCAATTACAGGAACACTGTCACTGTAAGTCTGTCTTACTGTCTACTTGGCTTTCAATACTTTCTTTATACATCCTTTGAACATTTGCTGTAGCTGGGTATGATGGTCCATGTCTGTAACCCCAGCAGTTGGGAGGATGAGACAAGAGGATTGCCATGAGTTTGAGGCCAGCCTGAATAAGAAAAAGCAAGTTAGTTGTAGTTGTCAGATTACTTCACTTTGATACACTAGTAGTAATCTCTTAAGGAGGACTGTCAAGTAAACAGGATGTTGTCATACCTAAAAAGCAGTAGCTCCAGTATATATATATAGAGAGAGAGAAAGAGAGTAGGGAAATTTATTGGAGAAAAGCAGTGGGGAATAGGAATAGCTCCTGAGAGACAGGAGGAATCCAGAATAGTTGCTCTTTGTTTATTTTGTCTGTGAGACATTGGTTCAGGCTGGCCTTGGGCTCACCTTGTAGCCCAGGCTGGTCTCGAATTCGCAACAATTCTCCTGTCTCAGCCTCCCGAGTGCTGGGATTACAGGAGTGTACCACCACGCCTGGTTCTTTGGGATTTTTGAGACTGGCTGGACAGGCTGGCCTCAAATGTGTTCTTCTGCTTGTCCTGAGTGATGGGATTATAGCTAAGCCAGGCTCACACATTGTTTTTATTTTTTTCATCTTTTTGATACAGGGACTCGCTCTGTAATTTAAGCTGGCTTTGAACTCACTTTGTAGTCCTTCAACTTGGGTGATCTTAGTGCCTCAGCTTCCCAAGTGCTGGGATTACAGGTGTGTACCACCATACACATTGTATTTTTTTTTTTTTTTTTATCGGTACCAGGGATCGAACTCATGACCGCCTGCTTGTAAGGCAGGCGCTTATGCTGCTGAGCTAAATCCCCAGCCCCTACACATTGTATTTTGAAGTTAGGTTTCTTTAGGCTTTTGAGTGCAGAGCTTGGTCCCCCCCAACAGAACAATATTTTCACTTGAGCCAGCGCTTGCAGTGAGCTGTACGTGGCTTAACTGCACGGCTTTGTGAAGTTCTGCATACAGAGTTATTGTTAGTGCGTGTTTTGCTTCACATCATCCAGTATTCACATGTGGAAATGATTCTGTCCACTTTTCACTATATGAGTAGAATGTATTGTCAGTGCGTTAAGTTTTTAGTTGATTATGAGCCTGTTTCTGTTTGTTCTGTCCTAGCTCAGTGACTCTTGTATGGCCCAAGGTAAAGAAACAAATCTCTGCTTGGGTTTTGGGCACCATGAACTGGATCTCAGTAATGGGTTTTTTGGGATTGATTTTACTGGTCTGTGTTGGCCTCCTTATGCTACAATGACTTTCACTGAAGCCACGCACAATGGCAGCTGCCACATCGCCTTAGATTAAACATGACTGTCTAGGCAGGGCAGAAAACGATTTGTCTGTGCTAAGCCCAAGTTGACAGAAATGAACAAATATGAGCACTTAGGACAAATCTGTCCATTTGAGTGTTCCTTGGACTGTTTGGCAAAATCCTCAAGGGCCAATTGGAAAGTGTTTTTGTCTAGGAAGAAATGAGATCATTGGAGTGGTTATTATGACAAGGGACTGTGCCACAAGCAGTGATTCTTGAGATACTTGTGGTAGGGTGGATATAGAGTTTCCTGTCCTGTGTTGCATGCTTTGGCCACATCTGACAAGGAAGTGGTTTCTAAATGCTACTCCCCCATACATAGGAGCACCTGGAGAAGCACTGTGACATTAGTTGCGTGTTTCTTTTTATTTTATTTATTTATTTTTTAAGACAAGGTCTCATTATGTAGTCTAGGCTGGCCTTGAACTTGCAGCATATTCCTGTCTCAGCCTCCTGAGACAACATTTTATTTTTTATTATTATTCCTTTATTTGTCTTTTTGAGACAGGGTCTCACTATGCAGTTCAGTCTGGCCTTGAGTTCACTTTGTAGCCCAGGCTGGGCTACAAACCCTGTAATGACCCTGCAATGATCCTTCTGCCTCAACTAAAAACTGAGTACTGTAGTTACAGATGTGTACCACCAAACCTGGCCTACATTTTATTTTGATAGTTACCTGTGCTTGTACCAAAGATCCCACACTCACTGTAGACTTTTACAGTTATTCTGGGTCTGTCTTACTCCTTTACCTTGAGTGCACTGGGACTTGGTAGGCTGTGCACCTTTTTTTACTTACATTTTGTTTTGTGAACCAGTGTGGTGATTTTCCTTTCAGCAGTTTGCTTAGTTCTTCCCCGGTCCCTGTGACATCTGCTAAGTGTGTCCCCTCTAAGCTAGTAAAGCCAAGGGCTGTGTCTGTCATAATGACCAGGAGTCTGTGAAGGAACAGAGAGTTAATGTTTTGGGCTTTATGACCCTTAGTGATTTCTGAGGCCATCACATTTTTGTTTTCCCCAACTGTTTAAAAATGTAAAAAAATTGTTGGTGCCCTGAGTGGGATAGATTTTGGTTCCTGCATGTTATGGCTGGAAACAAGGATTCACTGTGGCCATGTGACTCCGCCCTCCTCTGAGATATAGGCTGGAGGGACTGGGGTGCACTGCTTTAAAGAGGCAGGTGTCCTACAGGCTTTTCCAGAGGGAGCACTTGGCAGCTCCTGATGGAAGACCCTGGTTTAACAACTTTTAAGCTTTGCTAATTCGCTGTTATTTTCTTTCCCATTTCCCTTCAGTGCAACTGAAGAAAATCCATAAAAAGCAAAGGTTTAATATGCTGACCTTTTTTTTTTTTTTTCTTTTTGCATTTTTATGTTTTGTTTTTGAAATAGGGTTTCACTACGCGTTCAGGCTGGCCTTAATTCACTTTGTAGCCCAGGCTAACTCAGCCTCCCAAGTGCTTTTACAGGTGTGTACTACCACGCCTAGCCATGCTAACATTTTTGATGGTTTCTGCCAAGAGAGTGCTTCATCTTGCTGCCTTCGGAGGAGGCAGAGGGTTGAATGTGGCAGCTGCGAGGGGGGCGGAGCAGGCGGAGTTCCCATGTAAGAGGAACAGTAGAGACCATGAGTCAGTCTCCACAGAGTGAGGAGTAAGGCAGGTCTCCCCACAACAACATTCCAGTGTTGAAGGAGTCTTATCAGACCGTCACTTCTACCTGTAGCCTTTATCGCTCCTAGGATCTGGTGTGGACCAGGATTCCTGGCTGAGTGCTCCTGCTCTCAAGGCAGAACCACATATGGTGTGCTTGGTATTGTGTTACATTCTTGTTTCTTCTCCTAGAGACCTCTGAGCAATTGACCCCCGAGGAGGAGGCTGAGGAGACAGAGGCCTGGGCCAAGCTCCTGAGCCAACTGTGGCAGAACCGACCCCCAAACTTTGAGGCTGAAAAGGAATTCAATGAGAGCTTGGCCCAGCAGCCCCCTCACTGTGCTGTCTGTATGATCTTCCAGACGTATCATCAGGTAGGTTCACTTTATCCTGCCTTGACCCAGGACCAGCAGTCACTAGATTTGATTGTGGGTATGTAATTTGTCACTGGTACCCTTAGGTGAAGTACGTGTTTTCCTGGTGTTCTCTGCCTGATGGAAGTTGCTCAGTCTTCAGGCAGATGACCCTGAGTTAGAGATTTTCACTTGAAAATGGTCTGGAGACCATGTGGCTCAGGCTGTTTTGGGCACCAGTGCTAGTCACAATCTTGACTTTTCAGGGCTCTCTGTTTTTCCTAGCATCCTAGTCGGATGTTGTCCCTGCCAGGCAGTGTAGGATTGACCAGTCAGTGTAGAGGACCGTAGTTATTTAAGCACACTCTCACACACTCTGGGTGAAAAGCTAGATCTTGTCATGTTGGCTTCTTTATACCCATTCCGTTGTGGATGTTGCTGGTGGCCAGAAATAACTAGGGTAAGGTGGAAGTAGAGGCCTGGATTGGAGTATTCTGGCGCAATTGAGAAGCAAAAAGTATAAAATGAACAGGTTTATTGAGTTGAGGACGTGGAAAAGAGCACAGAACCCGTGGTGGTTGGGCTGTCTGCCTCGACTGGATACAGAGAAGCACAGAGTTATGAGAGCTATATGATTGCTGATCCGAAGTGGTGCACGGGATGGATAAAGATGACATGTGAGGAACCGATTGGAATTTTTTTTGTGTGCAAACAGCAAGGGGAGGTGCAATCAGGGCTGAAGAAGAAGCAGGAAGTGGTAAGCGTTCCCACTTTGGCCTTCCGTCACGGTGGACCACCGCCATAATTGTATAGTAATTTATACTAGGGTAAGAACCTTTCAGCGACAGGTAGAGAAGCACGGTTGCTGAACTCAGATGTGCCCTTCCCAATCTGGGACACTAAGGGCTTCTCTAGTAGATCAGTTAGGTGCCAGGTGACCAGCTCAGGCTCTGCTGGGACTTGGAAGTAAGCAAGCTATCACACTCTGGAGATTAAAGCAGCATGGCCGCTGTGAGTCTGGCAAGGCCCCAGTTTCATACGTGCTGAAGGATGGAACCTCAGACCAATACTTTTTTTGTTAGTAACTCACAAATTCTTTCTATTGACAGAAAAACAATACCAAAGAACTGTATATGCCGTTGTCAGTGAGGAAAGTGTCTGTTCTGGTTGTTACTTCCAACAGATTAAGTGGGGTGTAGTTTCATGAATGACTGGCACCCCAGTAGTGAAGTTAGTTAGCATGTGCTACCTATATAGAGTTTCACGAATGGCGTAGCCTTAGAGGTTAACATGTTTTTGGGCTCTCCCTCCTTGGAATAGGAATAATGTTGCCATCCAGTGGTAAAGCCAGCTGGTATTTGTAGTCAATATCATTTGCCGAGGGAGGTATGTGGATTTGATGTTCTTCTGGAGGGGCCCCTCAGCCAAAAACCACAGGTGGATCCCAGCCAGGTGACAGTGCTGCAGTCCTGGTGACTTGCTGACACAGAGTCTCAGAGGCAATCAGTGCTGGCCCATTAGCTGCACCTGTTCTGGGTGCTGTCCCTGAGTGAGGCCACCATGTGGTGCAGCACATAGGGGAGCCCACAGTGGCTGCTCCACTGGCAGCATCTCTGCATTTTATTACCATTTGGAGTAGGAAGACTGAAATCCCAGTTGTCTCTTACCTCGCTCCCTCTTCCCAGTTGTCCCCCAGGGGCCTTTGTTTGATGCTGCTGTGAGAAATTGAATTTGAGTCATTAGAGGTAACTTCAATTAGTAGCTCTGGGATAATGGTTATACACTTGGGAGTTGTAGCCATGGTCATATGAGTAAGAGACTCAGCTTTCTGCTGATGGAGCAGGTGGAAAGCTAAGAGCACAGGCGTGGGCTCACTGGTGTGCACTTTTTCTTCTTCCCTTAGGTCGAATTTGGAGGCCTTAGCCAGAACTGCGGAAATGCTTCGGAATTAGCCTCCCAAAAGCAGAGGACTAAGCCATTGATTCCAGAAATGTGTTTCACCTCAACTGGCTGCAGTACAGACATTAACCTGTCTACTCCTTATCTTGAGGAAGATGGTACCAGCATGCTAGTTTCCTGCAAGAAATGCAGTGTCCGTGTTCATGCTAGTGAGTGCTTCTTACCTTTTTCTTTATCTTATTTCAGGAACAGGGTCTGCTCACTGAATGTCCTTGCTGCCTGCTGACCTTTCCTTTCTTTAAGTGCACAGGCTGCTTATAAGTCCTTGGGGAGTTTGTTGTTGGTGATGAGTTTCTGCATGACTCGAAGCATCGGTAGTTTTACCAGTCAATTCTTCCATTGCACAGTTAGAGATAATCCACAGTAGATTAGACTCTGCTATACACTTGGTATTGCAGTTACTAATGAATCTGCAGCTCCTGTCTTTTTTTGTGATTGAGCCCTGGGGACTCTGATCTAGACTTCAGGGCTTTGGTAAGTTTTATTATCGTTGGGAGGAAAGACACGCATAGGCATATCCTGTTCTGACCTCTGGGTTTAATTTGCTCTTCTTGGTGTCTCTTTTAGGTTGCTACGGTGTACCCCCTGCAATGGCTTCTGAAGACTGGATGTGTTCTCGGTGTTCAGCCAATGCCCTAGAGGAAGTAAGTATTGCCACACTCTTTCTGTGATCTCCATGAGACTTCGAATACGTTCAGGGTCAGGATCAGGCTGTTTTAGGCTAGACTTGATGTGCCCAGCAATCTACATAGGGCCCAGTACTAGTGATGTCAGTAATGTGAGAATAAGTCTAACATCACTGAAGAGTAGTTTCTGCCCATTTGCAGCAGGGCATGAATAGACCTGGAAGCTTTGTTCATTTCACTGAGCCAAGACCAAGGTGATTGTCTGTAACACCACTGAAGAGTTAACCATGGGGTTGGAGCCTCAGTATTGGGCTCAGATAGTTGATTTTGCAGATATCTCTTGATCGTCACCCCCAGAGCCTGGCAATAACCTGCCTAGGAAACAGTCAAGGCTCCATAAATCTTCCACTTTATACACAGAGCAGCTTTTGTAACTTGACTTACTGTTGTTAGGAACAATAACAACAAAGAGGATTATTTTAAGCAGATACTTGATGCACTTTGGCCCCAGTGGTCTCTGTATCCTATAGGGGCGTCTCTGCTTTATAAGGCTTATATTTTGAAGCCCTGCCTGTCATTATATTGCTTTCTTAGGTTGAGGTCAGAGCTGTCCACAAGAAATTAATGGAGATTAGATACGGTGTTATTGACTTGATGGTAACTGCTCCCCGCCCCCCCCCCCTTTTTTTTTTGGACAGGACTGTTGTTTATGCTCCTTACGAGGAGGGGCCCTGCAGAGAGCAAATGATGATAGGTGAGTTTTCAGACCCATTTCTTGGAATGCCCCTGCTCAACTCTGACGCAGAGTATAGCAACAGTGTGGGGCCATGACTCTTTTTCCTGAGCACCTGGTGAGGGTTTGGGAAGTGCATTGTGTGGAGTAGGGACAGCATTTTTGGAACTAATTTTAATAGTGGATTGCTGAGGGGAGCCAAGCAGTCCTGGATCTTTCCACTTCTACTTTCCTTTAGTAACATCCTCTCTTGGGAGGAGCTGAGAATGGACTCAGAGAAGGGTATGGACACCTGAGATGGTGGTGCAAGGCCTTTGTGGGCTGGAGGTGGCCATGGGCATTGGGTAGTGAGGACTTTGCTACAGAGGAAACTCCCTAGCCCAGACCTAATGTTTAGAGATAATAGGAGTCCTGCAGCAAGAAAATGAGACACTTGAGAGATCAGCCATGCCACCTATAAATCTACAGAAGATTCTGGGCTTCTCAGCCATTGGGTTGCTCACTTTTATATAGTTGCATCTTTGTTTTTTGTGTCCTGTTTTATTTACTCCTGAGGCAGAAATGTAAGTTGCTGAGGTTTTTCCCCCATGAATACCGGGAAACTTTTTATAGGGTTGTGCATACAGGCAGCGGCATGCAGTGAATGAGTGTCCTGCCTCATGCTTGGCATGCTCTTTCTGATAGATGGCCCTTCTGCTGTCATTTACACTCATTTGAAGGCACTTGGCTGCCATTACTTGAAGTTACTGTGTTCCTCCCAGTTGCAAGATAGGGCTGGTCACAGTCTTCCTTCTTGGAGGTGAGGATTTCTCTGTTGAAGCCTTTCACTGGTCCTTTTAATCCCTGTTCTAACCGCACAGGGCATGACAGCCCCATCAATACGGCTGACCGCTTCCATGTAGCATCAGTGTTATCTGTAGGCCTTCATGTGTCCTGATTTTTCTTTATTTTTTGCAGGTCTGATGTTTGAACTCAGGGCCTTGTACATGTTAGATATATGCTTTAGCACTGTTCCATACCCCTCCCCTGATATTAAGAACTTTTACCAGCTTAGTTTTTATCTTGGTGCATGTCATCTCAAAATGCCCAGAACTTAATTTAATCCTCTGTGGATGTCTGTTGGGCAGACCTCTCATGGAAAGTGCGACTTGGGACAGATCTTAACGTCTGAATCCGCCTTAGATAAAGAGAGCAGAAAAGAGATTGTTTCAGCCTGGGAAAGAGTTCTGAGCAGAGACTAGGGGTTCCACAACACCGGCAAACTTGGTATGGTGAAGCTATTTTCCAGAAGTGCCTGGGTCCTCTGGGAAGAGAACCCTGTGACACTTGAGTTTATTCTCACCTCTGAAACCCACCACAGTCAGGTTCTGGTCCGACTTATTTTGCTACAGTTTTGAGGGAGCAGTGTAAGAAGTGTGATCCTACCTTAACCTGGGACAGTGCGGTGTGATATTTCTGGCTCTCACCTTCCTGGGCTTTGGGAACTTTGTGGAGGAAGTCATTGGTCATTGTGGGTGTGGGAGCCAGTGCTGTTGGAGGTCTATCCTAGAAAGGAAGACAGAGGTGACTGAGACCCTTTTGGCAGGTGGGTCCATGTTTCATGTGCTGTGGCAATTCTGGAAGCAAGATTTGTCAACATTGCAGAGAGAAGTCCAGTGGATGTGAGCAAAATCCCCTTGCCCCGCTTCAAACTGGTAAGTAAGAAGAGATGGGTTTGTGGATGCTTCCTAATTACCTTGTTTTTAGGTCTCCGAGTAGAGGGGGACAGTGTATATCTGCTTGGCCCTAGTTTTGTTCACTTTCTGGTTCTCACTCAAGTCAGATTACTTACTAAGGAGACCCATGATCAGTTGTGAGATTAGAATAGGCTGTATACCCTCATGTTTTAGGGGAGGGTTGGCTCTTTTTAACCTGGCTCAGTGCATTTGGGGAGTCGATCAATAAAAAAGGCTGGAATGTCTTTCCTGGAATCATTCATTGGTTTTCTGCTACTGTGTGTAGAAATGTGTCTTCTGTAAGAAGCGGAGGAAAAGAAACGCTGGCTGCTGTGTGCAGTGTTCCCATGGTCGGTGCCCAACTGCCTTCCACGTGAGCTGTGCCCAGGCTGCTGGAGTGATGATGCAGCCAGATGACTGGCCTTTTGTTGTCTTTATTACCTGCTTTCGGCATAGGATTCCCAGTTTGGAGGTAAGGGAGGGTGCCATTCTGGAATCCTTTTGACAAAGTGAAGACTCTCTTTCTCTGTGCTATCCATTTTTCATGCCAGCACATATTTCCTCAAGTAGTATGCTTGGTGGAGATCCTAATGAGTAAGTCATTAAGAGAAGACCTCAACTGTCTCTACTCCTGCTTTGGATTTCATAATGTAGTGGCACCAAACTGCTTCTGCGTGATTCCTTTGGATTATCTTTATTTGCTTGCTTGTCCACCAGGATAAACTCTTTGAGGGGAGGGCCCATATCTTTCTTTTGAGCAATACTAGAGATTGAACCTGGGGCCTTGCACTGAGCTGTTTCCCAGCCTATTTCTTATTTTAACACAGGCTCTTGCTAAGTTGCCCAGGCTGGGCTCAAAACTTGTGATGCTCTTGCCTCAGCCTCCCAGATTGCTGGGATTACAGGTGTGTACCACCATGCCTGGCTGAGGATCCGTATTTTATTACCCTGGATGTCCTTTTTATTTCATCTGGTGTCAGGGACATAGTAGAAGCTTTGTAAATATGAGAACTACTGGAGAGAACTGACAGTTTGCCATTAACTGATACTCACTAGGGGTTTATGTAGTTCTTTGATGAAGTATAGGGAGATACATGGAATGTGAGGTAGTAGAGTTAGGAAAGAGTCTGGGTCGAAGCTGGCATTTGAAGTGGTTCTTAATAAGAAATTGTAAGCAGAAAAGGCTTGGCTTCAGAAGCACAAGATCAAAGCTTAAAAAATGCACATACAAGACTGGTTCTAGAACCGTAGCAGGGGATCGGAACTGAGAGGAAAGCAGCACTAAATAATGAAGATTGTGCTGCACTTTACTACTCTTCTGTTGGACGACTTTCTTTGGTGTTAAGGTTTTAAAGCATAGGGCCAGGGTTTAGTTCAGCAGTGTTAGTGCCTACCTGGCAAGCGTGACGTTGTGAGTTTAATCCCCGGTCCTCCCTGCGCATGCACGCGCGCGCGCGCACACACACACACACACACAAACAAAAGATTTTAAAGTATGTGTTTGTGTGTGCACATGCATGTGGTATCAGGGATTGAGCCCAAGGCCTTCAGCCTGCTAGGCAATACTCGGCCACTGAGCTATATCCCTAGTCCAGTTTAAAATTTTCACATAGAATCTGGGATTGTTTAGGTTGGCCTTGAACTTAAAAATTCCTGCCTCAGTCCTCTGTGTAGTTAGGATTATACGTATGTGACACCATACCTGGCTTGCAATTTCTGAGACAGGGTTTCACTACTAAGTTTAGGCTGGCCTGGACCTCAGTTAATAGGCCAGTCTGGTTTGAAGTCATGGCAGTCGTATGCCTCAGCCTCACAAGTATTGCAGTAACATGGGTGTACCACCACCACATCCAGCTTGTGTTTAAAATTTTTAAAATTTCCTTTTTATGTATTTTCCTTTTGTATTTCCTTCTTTTGATGGTGGTGGTACTGGGGTATACTAGGGATTAAACCCAGGGCCTTTGTAATGAGCTACATCCCCAGCCCTTTTTATTTTGAGAGGAGGTACTGTTATGTTCTCCAGCTGGATTTGAACTTGAGATACTCCTGCATCAGCCTCCAAAGTGTTGGAATTACAGGTGTGTGCCTCCATGCCCAGTTGAACTATATTTTTAAATTGTGATTCTGGTAATGGCTCTAAGAGTGATTCAGAAATCAGAAATTGAGGCAGTGAAATAATTTAGCCTAAGAGAGAGTAAGTTTTGAAATCGGAATACGTAGGCAAACCTTTGAGGTATGCTGCTCTCTGAGTACTCCAAACTAGGAAGCCCTCGGGTTGCAGTCAGCAGCCACACAAGGTGGGAGGAGGCTCCACCATTGAGTAACAGGCTAATAGAAGAGACTTTCCCCATTGTGGTGAGCACGATAATCAAGGAAGAATGTGTTAGGAGCCAGTCTAGAGGAGAGAGTTTTGCACTCTGCTGTTGAGATCACAGAACAGACCTCAATAGTTGCCTGGATTTTCCTTTTTCATGAAACCATTTTATGATCATAAGAGGTGGTTGTCAGACATATGGGTAGTACCTTAGGGAAATGGAGAAATGTTCAGTGTGAAAACAAAGCTTTGGAGGAATAAAGGTCTAAGTTATGATCAAGGCCCACCTCTGGCAGATAAATTCATTTGGCAATGGAACAGGATTGTTTCATGATTATCAGTAGTTGATATACTTCGTTTGGTAGCTGTAGACTGCTGATGCTGAGAGGTAACTGGGGTATTGCTGAATATTTCTTTGACTGATTTATTGTTTTAAGTATTTTTTTAAGCACCTGCTATGTGACAAGCAGTTCTAGATGTTAGAAGTTGACTAGTGGAAAAGAGAAGAAAGTCCTTGCCCTCATAGAGTATATGTGAGGTGCATATGCTATAGCTGAAAGATACACACAGGAAGCTAGTAGTACACAGTGTATTAGACAGAACTGTGGTGGATAAAGAGGGTAGAGGAGTGGACAGTGAGTAATTTTGTCAGTGATGAATCTTGAGATGTGAGGAGACCAGGGAGCAAATAACTGGGGAAGGCATCTCAGGTAGAATAGCAGTACAAAGGCCCTGGGCTGGGATCTACGTAGCGTGTATATTGAGAACTGTGGCTGGAGTAGAGTACTTGGGCAGGTTATTGGAAGTGTTTGGCCGTGAGCCTAATACATAGTTTCTGATACCATTGCATCAAGGAGTTCATAAGGAGTAATCTGAATTGAGGGCACCATAGATAGCAGGGCCCTTATAATGGGAAGTAGGTTGTTGCAGATAGCTGAGAACATTCATCAAACTTCAGTCTCTGTGTCCTGTCCCTGAGGGTAGGGCTAGTGCTCAGCTTAGAGTGTAGCAATGCTTGGGGCCAAGGCCTCTGGTCCCATGAGTCTACTCTGAGACTCTGATAGGTAAGAGTAAGCCATGTACATTGTGGGTACGATTTGGTTGGGTCCAGGGAAGTCACAGGGTATATTTATGCAGAAGGACCAGTTCCGGGTTAGAAGCTCAGGGGAAGTGAAATTTATGTAGGCGAATATGACACTGGCTGGGATGTGGGTATGTGGAAAGAAATGATTCAGCTCCTGTTTCTTCTCTCCTTGTTAGCTTTTTATTCTGACGCTTATCTTCTTTGGATAAAGGGGAATGCATTGATTTTGGTTCTTGTTTGCCAGACCCATGAGTACAATGTGTAAATAACCCAAGCCTCTGTTTCTTTCAGCGTGCCAAAGGGGCCTTGCAGAGTATTACTGCTGGCCAGAAGGTCATTAGCAAACATAAGAATGGGCGCTTCTACCAGTGTGAAGTGGTCAGGCTCACCACTGAGACCTTCTATGAAGTCAATTTTGATGATGGCTCCTTCAGTGACAATCTGTATCCTGAGGACATAGTGGTAATGTCTGCAAGCAGCTTCTCTGGCAGTTTGGGACTTAGGAGTTTCTAGGCCTAGTTGGTAGACTGCCTGTGGGTATGCTTGCCTTTATTAATAGGTCCTGTGAGTTCTTTAATTTTCCCTAAAAGACATTTATACTGGTTTTTCCTTGCAAGGAAAACTGTGCTAATGGGTTACTGTGCTCCCCCTAAAATTTCATGGGAATCAGTATTTTCTCCAGTTCTCTAAACTACACATGTTTTGGCCAGACTATCCTGAAGGCACCTAATAGAGTGGAAAAAGCCCATTCTTTAGTATCAAATTGTGCACGTTTTGCTGTTCCAAAAGATGTATGACTTTTACAGAACTATCCAGCTATTTTTTCTACCATGCCATCTTAGCAGATGTAGAATCTGCTCTTTGCTATTTACAGTTGAGGGCTTTGGGGCTAAGGAAAAACTGGTGGGAACCTCGCTAGGCCATCTTCTTCCAGGCCTGTCATTTCATTCAACCATCACTGATTGTGCACCACACCTTAAGCTGGGATATAGTTGAACAGTCATTTTAAAGTATCCTTTTCTAGGAGTAAAGGTTCTAATGTATTGTGCCATGACCCATCGTAGGTAACTACTTTTTGTAACTTGCCTGTGTTTTAAAAACACCGTTCTTAAATTCTGAGTAAATTTCTAGCATTTCTTTATGAAGAGTTGTAGAAAACAGGTGAGTGGATGTGAAGATCACTGATTTTGGCACTTAGCTCCTATGCTTACTGAGTTTGCTAAATTCATTATGCCTGTTCATTTTGTCACCTAGAATCAAGATAAGAGATACAGGGTAGACTCTGATTTGCAAATAACCTTTCAGCCCAGAGTAAGTAGTCTATAGGAATGTCAAAGCGGAAGCATAATCTATAACTTATTTTTCCCTGAGTAGATGTCAGTTACCATTGTGCTGAAGTGGACCTTTCATTGTCCTTTTTTCTTTCTTCAGAGCCAGGACTGTCTCCAGTTGGGTCCTCCTGCTGAAGGAGAAGTGGTCCAAGTGAGATGAACAGATGGCCAAGTCTATGGAGCTAAATTTGTGGCTTCTCACCCCATCCAAATGTACCAGGTAGTCAAAGGTTCCTGTTAGGAGTGCGTGATAGTCAATTCATTCAGTGTTGTCTCTTGGGTCAGGTGATTCTCTGCTTTTCAAAGAACTACTATAGGTTGGTAATAAACTTTGTAGAGCTAGCTCTGTCCTACATCTAGTTTCCTAGTGTGCGGAAGTGGCAGTCCTTATTACTTCAGTGCTGTAGTGATTTCCTTTGGATGAAGAAAACTGCTATTTTCATGGGGTAGACAAGGGAAACTCCAAGGTACCCTAGCCCAAAGGTCTTTGTGTCACTGGCAGGTGGAGTTTGAGGATGGCTCACAGCTTGTGGTTAAGAGAGATGATGTGTATACACTGGATGAAGAGCTTCCCAAAAGAGTCAAGTCTAGACTGGTGAGTGTGTTTTGTGTGCCATTGGATCCCAGGAGCAGGAGGGAACAGAGCTGGGGCATGTCACTTTTTCTCCCTTGGGAGAGTTGGCTATAAAGTTATTTGGTTTCCCTGTTCTTCTGCAGTCAGTGGCCTCAGACATGCGCTTCAATGAGATTTTCACGGAAAAAGAGGTGAAGCAAGAAAAGAAACGGCAGCGGGTCATCAACTCTAGATACCGGGAAGATTATATAGAGCCTGCACTGTACCGGGCCATCATGGAGTAGGTGCTTCCAGCGTCCAGCAGGTTCCCAGCCATGGAGGCGAGAGCGCTCTGGTGTTCCACAGCACAGCAGACACACAGAACTCTGAAGTCTCTAAAAGTGAAGTTGTAAAAAGAAAAGGAATGAAATCTTCGACCCCATCACCTTCTTAATCCGCCCTCTTCACATTCTGCCCTAGTGAAAGGACAAGCCATTTTGGGACATGTGGCAGCAGCTGCTGATCTCTCAGCTGAGAGGCTGAGCACTGGAATGCTGTGGCTGTACTGACCCAGGTTCCAAAAGGAGTCAACTGTGCCAGTTGGGCAGATTGCCCTGCTCCTGGCCTAGGACTTCGTTTCCTACCAATTAATCACCACCCTCTAGGCAGAGGTGCTGGTACTTTCCCGATTCCTTTTGTATTTATATGTGTGTGTGTGCTCGAGTGTGTGCGTGTGTGTGGGCGTGTGTGTGTGGTCTGGATCAGCTTCTGCAAGCCCCTGGCCTTTACTTTCTTCCTTGCCTATGCAGGGCAAACAAAATGTGAAATTCTGTTCTCGGCTAAGCTGAGTAAAGGCCCCTGGGAGTTGGCTGGAGGTGGATGTGACATCTGTCTAGGCCTGGAATGGCCCCAAGAGAATGCTGGCAGAGCTGCAGTATTGAGATGCTAAGGAGTTGATGCCATCTCTTTGTCCTCCTTTGAAGGAGAACATAGGGGTAACATGGTCATGTTACCCACAACATTCTAGGGGACAGAGCTTCAGTGGCACAGTATTAGAGGGTGTGGGTGGGGAATACCCTCAAGGGAGGACTTTAATGATGGAAGCAGGCAGAGTCTGGTGGGTGAATCTGTTAAAAGAAAATTGCAATCATGCAAGGGCAGGGAGGGTTAGGATGAACTGGGGCCACTGGAGGCCAAGGGCAATTATAGGTATGCCCTTGGTCTGGGGGGTGGGTGGGAGGGGCTTGATTTCAGGGTGGGGGGGTGGGATAAGGGAGCAATACTGAGGGGGTTAAACAGGTTTTTGCTCCTCACAAATTTGTTTGCCTGGGCCCGGGATTGGAGGGGGGTCACAATTATTCCCTATGTATACAAGAAACAAATTTATAATTCCCCTTTTTTTGTTACGTATGAACGCTATAAACCAAATTATTTTGAAAACTGGTGCATCACCTTGTCCTTAGCAATAAAGTATGTTGAGCAGACGATTGGTTGTGTCTGCCCCAAGGAGCCCACAGGGCCCAGGGTCAGGCAGGGGTGTATCCAGAGTCATAGGCTCTGGAGAGGGCTACTATGTATCTTAAGAATCAGTCAGGCCTAGAAAGAGACAAAGTATGGTGAGTTATGAAAGAAGGGCCCTTCTGGCTAGGATCACCTTTTTGCTTCCCCGGTTTTATAGATGGCCAAGAGAAGGTAATGGGAAGGACCAAACCACTCTGAGTCATCTCAACATTGAACTCTCACTTCCATTCTATCTGATTTATCTTTACTGAGCTATGTCTATGCGAGCTTCCACACACATTATGGAACTAATTGAAAGGAAAGAAAGTGTTAGTGCTTGAAGACCAAGCAACTTATCCCCCAGTGATGTCCTAAAGCTGCTTGCTGAGCTACCTGTGGTTCCTTAAGAAGCCTGCCTATTGGGTCTCTGAGGGCTGAGTAGTTGAGTGTAGGGGTGCTTTGGGATAGAGAGGAGCAGTGGCTGCAGGATTAGAAGAGGCTTGGGTCAGCTCACTCAGTACTTTGTGTTCCTGGGCTTTGGGAGGTGGTTGCCACTTGGTACAAACTGAGGGGAATGGAGGAGCAAAAGATTTCAGATATGCTGTTTTTAACACTACTTGGGCCAAGAAAAGAAAGTTGACACTTATGTGGGATTTGGGGGCTTCTGGTGAGGTCGGGCAAGGCCAGGACTTACTGGTTTGATGACTGGGTCCCAGGCCTCTCCACTGGCCTTATTATAGCCTACAGCCTTGCTTTAGAACCTACAGGGCAGGCTGCCTGATCGAATCCCAACTGAGACATTTTATTTTTTGACGAGGTATCGCTGTGTAATTAAGAGTGGTCTTGCCTTGAACTGCTGTACTCCTGCCTTAGCCTCCGGAGCGCTGGGATTACAGGTTTGTGCCGCTGTGACTCTCCCGCTGTGCGGCAGAGACTTTTAAGCCAGCCATTTTTCTAAAAAGGTTGCAATTTTAACTTGTGGCAGTGTAATGTCCTTTAGGAGACCCAAGCTCAAAGAGGTGAGTGATAGGGCTTTCCAACTCACAAAACGCTGTCGGGACTGGGTACAGGACCTGAACATCCTACAAGCCTGCTGCTCTATTACTGAGTCACACGGTCATCCTTGTCCTGTGGTTCCCTCTCGCTGCCAGTACAGTCAGGCCCAAACAAAGGCCGCATCTTAGGCGAGTTCCCCCCAAAATATGTTTGCCAAGGTTAACAGCCTTCCTCTAATAGGGTGAGGTCTTAGGGTTGGTATCCAAAAGTGGCAGAAATCCATCCTTAAATTGTATCAGTGTATCACCAGGACTCAGTTGCTGGAATGAGGGAAGCAGAGTAGGAGAGAGAAGAGGACTCTGGAATTGCAAAATTAAGCAGTTGAGCAGGGTTAACTAGTGCACCCACCGAGTATCGAGGTTCTAAGTTGGTGACAGACGCCGGCGGCCTGGATGCCCATACCCTCGTACCCCGCGGGACTGCGCAGACACGTTAAAAGTCCGGAAATCCGGAGCCCTGGGCCTCAGCGGCCCGGTTGGCTCTCCCGCCTTGAGGACTAGGAGGGGCGTATACCGGCGGGGAATCACCGTGGCCAATCTACATTTCTGTGCCCCAAGTTTCGACAAGGAGCTCGCGAAGACGCTGGGTCCTCGGGAAGGCCTGAGCGCCCTTCCTGCTTTGCAATCGGCGGGAAGCTTCCTGGGCCGAGGGGACGGGAGCTGGGTGAAGGAGCAGCACTTGTACCTCTTGCGGCACATCCTCGGCGCGCCCGGAGGAGGCCAGGCGGAGAGCTCCGGGCTCCAGCGCCTTTTTGGGCCGTCCGCCTCCATGCCCGCCCTAACTGCGGCGCAGCCCACATTGGCTACCCCAGCGGCCCGTCCGGCCCCCGCACGCCTATTGGCGGCCGAGGCCCGACCCCCGACGAGGGCTCCGAGGCGGAGAGCCGGATTGGTGGTCCCATCGTCCCGGGTCGCAGTCGCACGCTCCGCCCGCCGCTGCGTCCCCACTATGGCGGCGCCCATACAGTCCAGCGCTTCGTGGGCGCCAGCCGGGGTTCCCCGCGGCTGTGGCCGCTGCCTGCGCCTTCCTCCCTCGCTTGGGGCTGGGCGCTGCCTCTCCCCGGCCTGCCTCTCGGCTGCGGTAAGCACTTGTCCCGTGCGCTTATGGGCGCGACTGGGATCGCGGATGAGGGCTTGTCGCCTCGCCCCTCCCCCAGGCCGGGTCTGGGGATGGACCGACGCCGAGCCCGCGCTCCTGTGCCGAGAGCGACCTGGCGGCGTGGCCCAGGGGTCGGCCTGGGTTTTGCACGACCTCGTGGTGTGGGGCATCTAGGCCTAGGAGCAAGGCCGGCCAGGCGGGGGCCAAGCAGTCCGAGCTTGCCCGCTTGCGGGATCTCGCGGCGCCGCGACCCTTGGCGCAGAGGAAGGACGCAGTCCTTCGGGCATTGCTGTGGGAAGACGGACAAGTTTAGGGAGTCAGCCTTGCGAGCTTAGCGGCTGTCATTGCTTACTGCTCTGTCAGGAGCTAGGTCTTCAGAGGCGACAGGGGGCAGTTTGATTGCCAAGTACTCTTCCTTTCTATCTGGAGCTTTCTTCTCATTGTCTTCTCGGCGATCTGGTTTGCAAGAGTAAACATGTTCGGGAAGAGATTGCGTTTGGTTAGGAGACTGCGTGTTTAGTATGTTGAATTCCTTTTTTACACCGGTACCCGTTTTTCTCATTCTGTTTTTTGTTTTTGTCACATAGGAGGGAGGGATCAATGAAGTCAGCTGTTGTCTCAGGAAATAAAGAATATTTACAGATTGTTCTGTGACACGACACTTCTTTGTGTGTGTGTGTGTGTGAGAGAGAGAGAGAGAGAGAGAGAGAGAGAGAGATGGGATCAAAACCAGGACCTCAAACATAACGTGGCAAGCACTCTCCCACTGAGATACACGCTCAGCCCAATTTCAGTATTTTGAGTTCTATAATGTTGGACATGAAGGATAAAAGAAACACTAAGTTACTGAAAGTAAGTCTTCATGACAATTTAGATTGTTTCTAAGTCAGAATCACTTTGGAATGATGATCACTGAACTGTTTGATATGCCTTTAAGTCAGCAGTGAGGGAATTGAAAGAAAGCTGTTACAGAAGTTGGTGACCCAATGGTAGCTTCAAATAATCTCTTGAAGTACTAATTGAAGTGGGTTCGTTAGTGGTGTAGGAATCTAAGCAGCCAAATTGATAAATTTGGAATTGTATTAGCTGTGCTCAGCTGGAGCCCTGTTTTAGAGTCCAAACGAATGGCACCGAACTAAAAGGTTACAGGGCTTTTGAAACAAAAAAAATCCTGTTGGAAACAATTTAGCTAGAATATTACATTAATTTTTAATTGACACCTGTGTCCTGCTTCTTTGTTGAGCAGGTTAATTTTTCTCTTGTGAATGCAGCTCATTCTGCTTTTCTCATGGGACTTGTACCCTGAATAATTTTTCCATTCTTCTCTGTCAAATATAGGGCACAAGATGGCGTTAGTTATGGCAACCCACAACACTAATAACTCAAGTATAGTTTGAATTAAGTGGTGAATTTCTTAAGACTTAATGTCTAACTGTGGCTTAACAGAACAGTGGTTATGGAACAAGACTCACGTGAGTCTAGATTGCCTTGCTTAACCAAGTGTCTATTTTTATTTGTTTTGAGAGAGGGTCTCACTATGTAGTTCAGGCTGGCATTGAACTCACTATGTGACCCAGACTGGCCTTGAACTCATAGCAGTCCTCCTGCCTCAGCCTCCTGAGTGCTGGGATAGCAGATGTGTGGCACCATGCCTAGCTCCCTCAAGTGTCTGTTGAGTGCATATTTTGTGCAAAGTGTTGTGGAAGGGAACTGAAAGACATTTAAGATATGAAATTTATTCTGCTGGGCCTGTAATAGAGTAGAGAGCATAAAGGACACATATGAAAATGTGATAATGGTAATGATATGGTCTCTAGAATTCTAGTACAGTAAGAACTATAGAAATCAAGAAAAAGGGAAACTTATCCATTTGAGGAAGGCTTCACAGGGGAGCTAAAGCTTGAGTTGGGGCCCAAGAGTGTGTCTGGCCTGTCTGGAAGAAGATAAATGAGCTGATAGAAAGTGTGGATGGTAAAGGTAGCAGGGGGAACTTGAAATGTACCTGGCTGGTTCCAGGGATTCTTTCGGAAGAAAGTGGGAGATGAGGTCGTACAGAAAGTGAGTGAGTGGATAGGATCAAGCCGAGGTACCTTTGCCCCAGGAGAGAACATAGTTAACGTTAACTGATACTCTTCAAGTGAAGACAGAACTAAGCATCAGGAAAGAGACTCAACAATACTTTGCCACTGTCATTTTCTGATTAGCCTCAGATATTTGGGATAATAGTTCTCAGCCATCACAGACTGGCACCTCGGGTTCCTTTTTACTTTGCTTTTTAATTCCTGTGTGCAGTTGCTTGCCAGGACGTGTTGATCCTACATCCACTTTTCTCTCCATTCCTGATGTCATCACACTGCTTTGGGCCATTGATAAAACTTCCGGGAGTTGACCCAGAACACTCCTCTCTTGCAGGATTGTTTTCTTTCCTCCCACTTGCCAGGTGTGCTGCCATCTCTTCCAGGTGCGTCACTTCTGCCAAGACTTTTAGTGGTTCTGGGTATGTTGAACTAGCCATAGAACAGCTGGCATGAAAGTATGGGCAAATGTTTTTATTGGCCACACCTTCAGATTTTACTGTTCTTTCCTGATTATTTGAACTGCTTGCTCTTTGTGCTTTACTGTTTGTACTTATCTTGGCTTTTTCTACCTTAAGTGACCCTCTTGAATTATTCTTACATATGTTTAGGGCTGTTTGTAGGAAACTTCTGTGAATTGTTTCTGTGCTTTTCTTCCCACGTAATTAGTGCTCTCCTTAAAATGACTATAACTCTGTAGTCTTTTTGTCTTAACTTTCAGTCACGACATAGGACTGAAGCTTTCTCCAGATGTGAATCATGATCTTTGTCTCTAGCAAAGTTTTTTTACTTAGTAGATACTTAGCAAATATATTGAAAAAAGCTTTGAACTAGATGGATACAAAAAAATGCTATGCGGAAAGAAAATGCTGCCGTAAAGTATGTAAATAATGTTATTTATGAGAAAATCCCTTACTGAGAGACAGTGTATTGGTCTGGATAGCTTGGGTTAAACTATACTAACAAAAGTCTTAAAGATTTTAGTGATTTAACAGAACTGAAATTGATTTCTTCTTCATGCTACTAGGGGACTCTGCTTCCATAGGGATTACTCAGGAACCAAGACAATTGGTGGTCAAGTGAATGCTGGCTTTTTAAAACATTCTGTCTCAGGGGCTGGAGGTTTAGCTCAGTGGCATAAACACCTGCCTTGCAAGCAGGTGGTCGTGAGTTCGATCCCTGGTACCGATAAAAATGAAAAAGACAAAAAAAAAAAAAAAGATTCTCTTTCTTTTATACTTCATTGATCAAAGCATGTCACATGGCCAGACCTAACTTTAAAGCAGGTTGAGGAATTGTACTCTTAGCATATGCCTAGCAACAAAGGACCAAAACGATTTGATGAATAGCAATAAGGACTACATCTTCTATGGGTGTCATAGACTGTCGAAGATTAGAGATGGCCCTCCTTTAAAAAAAAAAAGAAGATTAGAGAGCAGGAATAAGAAGTACTACTATCAGATACAAACACTGATAATAGCAAGAATTAATAGCTCTAGGCATAGTGGAAAGGTAGATTCTGAGTTAAAAGTCTATAACAAGAATTTATAAATGCCAAGGCCAATTATACGAGGATAATATGTTCCATATATAACATAGTTATTCCTGAAGGCATTACTTTTTCTGGCCTTCGTAATCAACAAAGCATGACCTTGTGACATCCAAAAATTTAAAAAGTTGAATTACATTCAAGATACTGGATTTAAGAAATCTGTAGTTATTTGAAATGCATTTTCATATGATTGGATAAAATAAAGAACTTACAGTTGAATTGAGACTTGCAAAGTTGTTATTTGGGGAGGTTGCACTTTTGACAAAGAATAAGCAGAGAAGGTTGGATGGAGCCCTGGTTCAGGAAACAGAAGATCTGGCTTCAGAGCTTGTCTATACTACTAACTGACATTGAAAGTGTGTGTATGAGAGCCAGACATGGTGGCTCATGCCTGCAATCCCAGCACTCGGGAGGCTGAGATAGGAGGATCGTCGCGAGTTGAGACCAGCCTGGGCTACAAAGTGAGCTCAAGGCCAGCCTGAACTGCACAGTGAGACCCTGTTTCAAAAAGACAAAGAAAGAAAGAAAGAAAGAGAGAGAAAGAAAGAGGAAGGAAGGAAGGAAGAAAGAAAGAAAGAAACTGTGTATGTGTGTGTGGTGTTGGGGGTTGATCCCAGGGCCTTGAATGTTAGGCAAGTGTTGTACCACTAAGTTACATCTCCAGCCCCAGGTTCCTCCAGACCGAGTTTCCTTGTCAGAATGCTGGGATTATGGCATACATAGCGCAGTTGTAAAACTAAATGAATTAGTTCCGGTAAAGTGCTTTGCACAGTAAAATACCTAGCTCAAAGTAAACATTCAAAATCAGAGTAGCAGCAGCAGCAACAATAGCAGGATTTGAAGAAATTTCAAAAGAACAGATAAGGAAGCCCCAGAAATATATGAATTCTCTCAGATTTTCCTGTTTCTTTTTCTTTCCTCCCTCTTCCTTGGACCACATTCCTGCCATGCCTTTTAAAATTTTCATATCTTATTGTATACTTAAGTGCTTATCCCACTATACTAAGTAGTCTAGTTATTCCAGATATTTATTGGACACAAGCTCTGTGCTAGACTATGTGTTATGGCACTGGAAGTGTAAATGGTACGGCTCTGGCCTCAGAAAGCCTATAGTTTTGGAGGACCTGAGGGAAGTAAACCAGTAGTTATAATACTGTCAAGCCACAACATGCTTATAGGCTTGGTTCTAGGACACTTCAGGAATACCAAAACTCAAGGACATTCATGTTCAGACAGCAGAGTGTTTGCATATAACACTCAAAAGAGTTCCTTCATCTTTGTTAGCTTTGGATTACTTGTACTGCCTAACACCATGTAAATGCTATGTAAACAGTTATATTTAGAGAATAAAGACAAGAAAAAAAGTGCATGCTCAGTACAGGTGCACTTTTTTAAAAAAACACTTCTCATCTGTTATTGATTGAATCTGCAGAGGCCTGACTACCTCATAACAAGGTTTGTGACTGTCTTGTCATGTTGGGAATATAAGTAACGGTTTTCTAGAGGAGCTCACACCTAGTTTAAGTTTTGAAGAACCAATAATTACTAGCTGGTTGGATGTGGCTTTCAAGGCTTGTCATGCAGGAAACAGTGAGTGCCAGGACCTAGAGACAGAAGAGCAAATCTTGCTGCTTCCTGAGTGAGGAGGCTTGCAGGGCAGGAGTGTGGAGTGTGTTTGGGCAGTGTGTAGGATTGGTGCTGTAGAAGAGTTTGAGAAGGGCTTTGTGAGTTGTGCTTTATCCTCAAGGTAATTTGAGCCCCTGGAAGAGCTGAAGGTAGGAAATGACTGTCGTCAGCTTTGCCTTTGAGGAGAACTGTGTGAGGAGGTGGCTGAGTAAGTATGTGTCTTGTTTTCCTGGCATGGGAATTTCTAGGTTTGCAATCGTAGCCCATGCCTGCTACACGAAAGTCATATTTACATTTAGAGGAGAGATTGAATGAGGTGAGACTGGAGGGAAGGATGTGATAGTTGGGATGGTGCAGTAAGATGAGAGGTTTATGTGTCCTGCTTTCAATAGCAGAAAAGGATTTTAGTCACTTCACCAGTTTCTACCGTATGACCTTGAGCAGACTGTAGAATTGCTTTCTTGATGTTCTTGGCTTTCAAATTTGGAAAATAGGGATAAAAATCCCTATCTTGCAAGGTTGCTCTGCAGATTGGAGGGAATAAACGTAAAAAGCTTGGTCCTGCCAGGTATGGTGGTCAGGCCTGTAATCTTAGCACTCTGGAAGGCTGAGGCAGGAAGGTTGCAAATTCAAGCCTAATCTGGGCAGCTAAGTGACTTAGTGAGACTGTGTCTCAAAATAAAATACTCTTGAGGGTGCAGCTCAATGCAGAGGTCCTGAGTCTGATCCCCAGTACTGAAAAACAGACAGACAAACCTGGCCCTGTGTTTTTAGATATATAAAGGACCTCTTACAATAAAAGTGATAGTTTTTATATTTAGCAATACTGGGAATGGAATCCATGGCCTTATATATGCTAGGGAAGCACTCTGACATTGAATTGTACCCACAGCCCTCTCTATTTTTGTTGTTTTAGCCAGGGTCTAGGTAAATTACTCTAAATGGCCTGAAACTTGCTATCCTCCTGCCTCATGGTTTTTAGTAGCTGGGATTATGGACGTGTGCCACCACATCTGACTAAAATAATAGTTTTAATACTCCTAATGTTTAGTATATTGCCTCTTGCTTCTAGCCTATGGTGGGCAATCATTAGCCTTAATGCTTACCACCTAAAGATAACCACTGCCAACTTTGTGGTTTTATTTATGCATTTAAGATGATTGATGAAGGGGCTGGGGATTTAGCTCAGCGGCATAAGCACCTGCCTTGCAAGCAGGTGGTCGTGAGTTCGACCCCTGGTACCGATAAAAACGCAAAAGACAAAAAAAAAAAAAAAAAAGATGATTGATGATGCTGATCTGTGAGGTTAAGGCATAAGGGACCTTTTCTGATAGCAGGAAAGGAAAGTTGATAGGAATATTGTAACCAGTGAAACAGTGTTTAAGGCTGGGACCTGGAGGGTCTCAAGTCCAAGGCCAACCTGGGGAACTTAGGAGAACCTTGTCTCTAAATATAAAATAGGCTGGGGTTCTACCTTGGTGATAGAGTTCACCTGGGTTCAGTCTTTTCGTTTTTCATTTTCATTTTTTTGAGACAAGGTGTCACTGTGTAGCTGAGGCTGGCCTCAAACTCATGGCAGTCCTCCTACCTCAGCCTCCCGAGTGCTGAGATTACAGGTGTGTGCCACCATGCTTGGGTTCAATCTTTAGTACTGCAAAAAACACATGAAAATAGTGTTTAAGTGTTAGCATTTCATATGTGGCCATCCAGCTGTTTCCACCCCTCAGAAATGACACTTACATGTGTGTACATCTGCTTTCTTGTCATTGATGTTACTGCAGTATGCTCACCGCCTGGGCTGCTAAAACGTAACAACTTCTCCATGGCCTGTCCTTGTTAGCTTCTTCCCTTCTGGTATTTTACTGTTTTTTCATCTGATGATATTTTTAAAAAAAATATGGTAATGAGGGTTTAATTTAGTTTTGTTTTCTGTGGGTTCCTCCCTAATCATCCTGACTTGACAGGAGTTCTTCCTCTCTGAACTCATGTTTTTCTGATTAAATGTCGTCTACTGTCTTGTCTTAATGTCTCTATTTCACTAAATTTCCTTTTCATTGATGTCAGTCTCTCTTCCAAGATAATTGAAGAGTGGCAGAATTATGTTTTTTAACATGGGTTAAGAAACCATTGAAACCTTTTGTTTTAAATATGTCAAACAAGCCAGGTATGGTGGCGTATGCACGTGAGAGGCTGAGGCAGGAGGATTGCTGCAAGTTTGAGGCCAGCCTAGGCTATGTAGTAGTTCATGGTTAGCCTGAACTGCCTAGAGAAATCCTGTCTCAAAAAGACCAAAAAAGGGGGTGGGGGTTTAGCTTAGTGCCACAAGCACCTGCCTGGCAAGTGCGAGATCATGAGTTCAATCCCTGGTACCAAAAAAAAAAAAAAATGGTTATGCAGTTTGGAAAATTCTGTTTTTTAAAATGTGTTGTAGTATCCACTTTTTGGCTTCAAGGGTGCTTTAAAGCTTAAAAATTACCAAATACCTTGAGGACTTTCATCTTTATGGGTTTGTCTGTTGGTAATGTATTTAATGCATTAAAATGATTAAATGCTGAGAAAATTTTAAATCAGAAGAATACACAGTACATATTCTATTAGCCATAACAACTGTGTTATTCCATGTCTTCCCATGTTATGTAACCTCCAAAAAACCCTATTGGACTCTTACGAGCGAATGAGAGTGAACAAGGCAAATAATGTTAGAATTATTATGAAAAGTGTTAAACTCATGGATCCCCTTTAGGGGTTTTGGTGACTCTTAAGGACCTCAGACTACTTTGAGAACTGTGTAGCTACTGTATGACAGCTTTTATTTCATTTTATTTTGCAATTCAATTTAAATTTTTGCTACATTTTAGATATACATGATAATCACATTCATCATAGAGAATTTGTACCTGTACATGATATAACCTGTTCCTTTTCTTTCCCATTCTCCTCCCCTCCCTTCAACCCCTCCTCTCCTCACCATTTACAAAAGCTTTGTTTATGATAACTTTTACATCGTACTTCTATTTTTTTAGAGAAAACGTCGATGTCAACATTTAAAAACTTGTTCAAGATGCACTCAACATAGTGCATTCTTTGAAAAGTAGCTGGTTTTCAGCCTTGGTTGCACCATTTCCTGTGTCTGGGAAGGGTGGATGTTTGTGTTTGGGGAATATCAGGTAGATTCCATGCTTCTGACAGACATTTGCAATTCTAGGAAAGATAGCAAACTGGAAACACCAGTACTTCTGTTAAAGAAAAATACTCACCCAGGGGCTGGGGATTTAGCTCAGCAGCATAAGCGCCTGCTTTGCAAGCAGGCAGTCGTGAGTTTGATCCCTGGTACCGATAAAAAGAAGAAAGACCAAAAAAAAAAAAAAAGAAAAATACTCACCTTATCTTAACTTCTGGAAATTGCCTAAGATCTTGCTCTATGATAGCTGGAGAATTTTGAGGTACAAATTTCATGATTTCTTAGTGTCTCATGATGAAGTAGAGTGATGATTCTGCTTTAAAAGATCGTTTTCACGAGCTTAGCCACATTGATGTCTTTTTGTACCACAGAAGCTGCAGACATTAGGAAAGGCACGGAAGAGGGTGGTGCCACCAGCCCTCGTAGCGTGGGACCTCATGTGCCTTGCTCAGCTGGGGGAGGCAGTGCCAGTACAATTAAACATTAAGTTGCACATGGGTATTCTGGTGTTTCTTTCAGTAACCTGTTGAATCACTTCAAACACCTGTGTCAGTTTCTCCCTGTTTGAAGGTAGATGGCCCAGGCTGCTAACAGGGTATCACCTGGCTCTTGGTACAGCCCTCTCCTGTCTGTCCTCTGCGTTACCACTGGAGCAAATAGGCATCTTTGTGAAATGAGATCCACCCCATTTCTCTACTTCTTCCCTCATGTGGTTCTCACTGCCAGTAGGATGAGTTTTCAACTCTTTAGCTCCTATCCTTCCACGGTTTCAGCTTCCCAGAGGCAGTTTAGTTCAGGCTTTGCCTTTTTTTGGAAGCTTATGGGCAGTGACTAATCACTACCACCATCATGTCTGAGCTTCATTTATCACTGCTGCTGGGAGCAGGTATTGTGTGTGCCCACTGCTTTTCTCAACTGTGTAATAATGGCTTTTGTCTGCATTGAGAAGACAGCTTCTAGCAAAGTCAAACAGTTACTTTTCAGGAGTGCAGCATAGCTTTATTATTATTATGCTCCTTCCCTTGCCTTTTTTAAAGATATGGGCAAGTAAACAATATGGAACTGCTACATTGACCTAAAGCTTAGAGTCTCAAAGAGTAGCAATAAAAGAGTACCTTATCTCATGATATATTATTTTACACATACATGCACAATAATATGATACCCATCATTAAGTCTTAATACGCCATATTATTTCAGTTTTTTAAAAAAACTTCTTAACAAATAGGACATTACATTTTTCATAAAGCCCGGTGTGTTTTTTCCCTCACAGTCTCCTCTTTTTTTCACTGGAGAGAATCACTAGTTTTGACTTGAAATTCTTTTCTTCTCATATATATTTTTATACTTTTGCTACATGTACTGTGTCCCTATACAATACAGAACAGAGGACCTGCAAACTGGCATACCAGTTTTATTGCACACAGCAGTACACATTCATTTATATATTGCAGGTTACTATTTTCAAGCTACAATTTTGCTTTCCATCTTTTCTGGGCAGAGTGCCATTTCTCAGTTGCCTTTCAGAGCAGTCTCTATTCTACCTCAGCTGGCCTGGGCAGAGGAAATTGTCTTTTCAAATACTACTGTTGAGTTTTCTTAAGATCAGTTATGTTGGGGCTGGGGATTTAGCTCAGCAGCATAAGCAGCTGCCTAGCAAGTGTGAGGTTGTGAGTTCAATCCCCGGTACCAAAAAAAAAAAAAAAAAAAAAAAGATCAGCTATATTCAGTTTTTGTGCTACTGGGAGTTGAACCCAGGGCCTTTGCACTGAGTATATTCCTAGCCTTTTTTATTTATTTTTTTGACCCACTCTTGCTAAGTTGCCCAGGCAACTTTTGATCCTCCTGCTTCAGCCTGCCAGAGTGCATTGAGTATTATTAATTTTCCACATAGAGGTCACCTTTTCCAAATAAAATTATGTCTAGGACTTGTCCTTTGAATGCCATTGAAGAAAAGAAAAAGGTAAAAATCCCCTATAAAACCAGACCTTAACAGTTCCTATTCAAAAAAGTTTCCTTTGTAAAAACACATATGAACTCACATGTGCAAAACTGAAAGTCTTGTTCCCGGGTTTTTTTTTTTTGTCTTTTTCCTTTTTATCGGTACCGGGGATCGAACTCACAACTGCCTGCTTGCAAGGCAGTCGCTTATGCCGCTGAGTTAAATCTCCAGCCCCTGTTCCAGGGGTTTTTTATTTCCCATACCCTTCCAGGCTTTTCCTTAGCTCTTCGTAAAAGGAGTATCTAACCAGTTATAAACATTTTTTAGCTTCCTTTTTTATTTCCCATTTTTACTTTTTTTTTGTCATTTTGTTTGGCTGGTTTTATTTGAGACAGAGTTTCTCGGTGTAGTTTAGGCTGGCTTTGAACTTGCTGTGTAGCCCAGCAGTTCTCCTCTTCAGCCTCCCAAGCGTTAGGATTATAGGCCTGCACTAGCACGCCTGGCTATTTCCTACTTTCAGAATCCTATTAGAAGGGCGAGGGTTTAGCTCAGTGGCATAAGTGCCAGCCTAACAAGCGCAAGGTTACCAGTTTGATTCCTGGTACTAAAAGAAAAAAATCCTGTTAGACATTGAGTTTCTGCTTAATAAACCACTGACCTCTCATATTGAGAGCCAGAGTCCAATCAGGAGAAAGAAACTACCTGGCAATTTGAGCAAAGTTTGATACAATTAATTACAGCAAATAATTGAAGTAACTTCAAAGTAACTAGTAAAAAGTATATAAGAAATAGCATGTGGAAACATGGCTAGCATTATCAGCAATCACAAAAAAGGAAATCAAAACCACAGTAACATGCCACTTCCTGCCCATTAGGAAGGCTATAATCTACAGGATGGATAACAAATGTTGAAGCAAGTGTGCCAAAATCAGAGCTTTTATATGCTGTTGGTGAGAATGTAAAATGAATGTTGCTGCCATGGAAATCAGTGTGGCATTTCCTCAGTTAAACCCAGAATTACCACATGATCTATGAGGATGTCATTCCTTTGAATAAATATCTGATATATTTTTTCCTGAATCCATTTTATTCAAGAAGAAAAAGAAAAAGCTAAAACAAAATTTCAAAACATATCAGTGAGGACACAGCAGTGGTACATATATTGCACACTGTCATACACAAATCATTTACTCAGAGCATTCAGTTATCTGCACAATACCAACACAAATCTTTCTCTTCAGTGAACTCAGAGAAATCAGTAGGATAAATATCTTAGCTATTTGTTTTATATATATATATATATATATATATATATATATATATATATTTTCACACACACACATACATACACATGTGATTTAGCTTCTCACACTAATACAGTGTTTACACATGTGTGTCTTATTTATTTCACTGAGTATGTTCTCAAGGGGTATCCATTTACCTATAAAAGTCTCCAGTTTCTCCTTCTTTTTGGCTGAGTAGTACTCCATTGCATAAAAATATCACATCTTTTTTATCCATTCTTCAGCTGATGGGCATTTAGGTTGCTTCCTACATCTGGCTATTACAAACTGTGCTGCTATAAATATGGTATATGCCGAATATTAACTGGAGGTATGTACCCAAGAGAAGTGAAAATGTTACATCTATATGAAAACTTGTACACATTCATTGCAGCAGTAGGCAGCACAAAGGTGGAAACAACCAAATGCCTATGAGCTAGTGAATAGATAAGGAATCCGTACAATGAGATATTTAAAATGTTTTTGATTAGTACAGACTTATAGTACATGATGACCACATTCTTTGAGAGAGTTAGTACATGTACACGACATACCTTAATTAAAAAAAAAAAATCTCATTCCCTTCCTGGCCCATTCCTTTCTGTCCATCTCTTGATTCCTATCTCATATAAAAGGTCTAGCTCACCATTTCTCTTGATCTTTTATTTTGCTCTTTATTTATACGTTGGGTCTTTCATATAAGAGAAACCATGTGATATTTAAACTTGTGTGTCTGATTTATGTCACTTAGTATTATGACCAGAATATGTCCAGTTTCTTACAGATGACTCAAATTTATCCTTTATGGCAGAGTAGTACTACATTCCTTCCTTCCCATAGCCCAGGCTGTCCTTGAACTCGCAGCAGTCCTTCTGCCTCAGTCTCCCAAGTGCTGGGATTACAAGCATGTGCCACCATGTCCAGGATTATGTTTTCTTTATCCTTTCATGTGTTGATGGACATATTTTCTGCTTCCAAGATTATGCTGTTCTGCTGTAATTGTGGATATGCATGTATCCTGTAATATGATGTAATACTTCTGGTGGAAGCTCTTACCCATCAGCATGGCAGAGCCTGCTTCATGGGAATGGAATGCTTGGCTTCTCTTGTGATTGAGGCTTTTGCTGATCAGCATAGAGCCAGGAAGGCCATGATGTCTTTAACTCTTTTGGAAAGACATAGAGAAGAGAAATAGCTGATTCAAATGAAATTTTGTGAAAGGATGTTGGATTTTGTCAAAGTTTTTTTCTGCCTTTTATTGAGATGATCATATGACTCCCCCTCTCCTATAATGTATTGTATTTATTGATTTGTGTGTGTTGAACCATCTTTGCATCCCTGGGATGAAGCCTACTTAGTCATGGTGTTTGATCTTCTTGGTGATATTAGCTCAGTGGCACAGTGCCTGCCTGGCAAGTATGAGATCATAAATTCAATCCCCAGTACCAAAAAAAACCCCCCAAAAAACAAAGAAGAGAAATGATTCATTAGCATTTTGTTTGCCGGTATCCTGTTGAGGATTTTTGCTTCTATCTTCATTAAAGGAATTGGTCTATAGTTCTCAGTTTTGGTTGGATCCTTGTCTTGTTTTGGAATCAGAGTAATACTAGCTAGCTCTCAGAAATAACTTTGAGAGTACTCTTTCCCTTTTAATTTCATTAAAAAAGCTTGAGGATGGCTGGGGATGTAGCTCAGCGACATAAGTGCCTGCCTGGCAAGTGCGAGGTAGCTAGTTCAATCCCCAGTACCAACCATCTCCCTCCAAAAAAAAAAGCTTGAGGAATATTAAGCTTAAAAGTTTCCTGAAATTTTTGTAGATTTCAGGAGTGAACCCTTCCAAGGGGCTTTTCTTGGTGGATTTTATTTATTTTCAATTTCATTTGCTATTACAGGATTATTCAGCATTTTAAAATCTTTTTGACGCAGTTTTGGTAATTAATATATATCTAGGAACCTGTCCATTTCTTCTGAATTCTCTAATTTATTGGCATACAGGTTTTGCAGTAATTAATAATCTTTTTTTTTTTTTTTTTTTGAGACAGGGTATCACTATACCCAAGCTGGCCTTGAATTCACTTTGTAGCCCAGGCTGGCCTCAAATTCGCAGCAATCCTCCTGCTTCTACCTCCTAAGTTATGTGCCACCATACCCAGCTTTTTATTTTGGCAGTGTCTATTGTAATTGTCCCTTTTTCACTTCTTAGATCCCATTGATTTGGGTCTTTTCTGTCCTTTTTTGGTTAGGTTGGCTAAGGGTTTGTTTATTTTGTTTATTCTTTTGAAGAACCAACTCTTTGATTCATTAATTTTTGGGGTATTTGGGTCTCAGTTTCATTCTTTTCTGCTCAGTGAAACAGTCATGCGTATAGCGGTGGTGGTTTAAGCTGGCAGGACTATGGTAGTGACAATTCTTTCTCATTTAGTTAAGGCTGACTTACTGGCTAATATATGGTGAGTTTTGGAGAAAGTTGCATGTACTGCTGAAAAAGAATGTGTGTTCTGTTGTTGGGTAGAAAAATAAATATAAAATCCATTTCTTTGAAGGATTTGTTCAATTCTAATTTTTTGTTGATTTTTTTTTCTAGTTAGTTTAATGTTAGTGGCATATTGAAGTCTTTCATTATAATTGTGTCTAACCTTGTCTGGTCTTTTATGTCCAGTAGTATTTGTCTTATAAAGCTGAATGTGCCATTGTTTGGTACATATTGTTCCCCTGACCAACATATAATGACCTTTGCCACTTTTGATCAGTTTCAGCTAAAGTCTACTTTGTCTGAATAAATAGGCTCCTGTTGCATGGGATATTGTTTTTCATTCTTTGGTTTTTAGCCTATTAGGTTAAATGGGTTCCTAGGAATTAAGGAGAGGAAAATGAGACAAAAGATACTATAAGAAGTAGAAAGATATTTTAGAATTAGATATAGATAAGTCAAAAAACAAATGAGAAATAGAAGATAAAGAAAAAAAGGAGAAAAAAGAAATAATATGGAGAAATGAAAGAAAAAAATTAAAAAGAAAATGAAGAAACAAGAAAGAAATTGAGTCCATAAACAGAATGTTCTGTATTTTCTTTTCTTTTCTTTTTTTTTTTTTTGTCTTTTTCCTTTTTCATCGGTACCGCGGATCGAACTCACGACTACCTGCTTGCAAGGCAGACGCTTATGCCGCTGAGCTAAATCCCCAGCCCTGTTCTGTGTTTTCAAGTGAGTGAATTCCTTCTAAGATCCACAGTTTGGAGTTTAACAAGTCACAGTTTTCTCTGCCTAGCAATCTAGACTGTGGGTCTGTTGGATGTACCCCATTCCCAAGGCCCCTCAGTTCCCCAGGCTGTGCAGTGTCCTTGTTGACATCCTTGCTGTCACTGATGGATGAGGAAGGCAGTCAGAACTCAGATCCATGCTTACTTCTGGGGAGCCAGAGTCCTCTCCCTATAACCTGTGAACTGGGGAAAGAGATCAGATTGTTTAGTCCTTTACTTTGTGTTGTGGGCTGTCTTTCTAACTTCTCTGTAGCTTCTGTTCTTTATTGTCTGTTCCTTTCTAATTCCTAGTGAGCTACTTTTTTTTCATTCTTTACTAAGTTGTTATTTTTCAGAGTCTGGATTCTGGATCTCGGAGAGGTTGACTTTTGCTACCCCTAGTCTACTATTTAAAAATGGGTCAATCAGGTGTAGCAGTGCACACTTCTAGCATTTGGGAAAGTGAGGCAGACCCATGAATTCCAGACCAGCATGGGCTACATAGTGAGTTCAAGGTTAGCTCAAACTACATAGTGAGACTGGCCCTGCTACGTGACTGCAGTCCCAGTATACAGCCCTGCAGTGGAGTTTTATTTGGGAGTAAGAAGTGATGAGGCACTGATACATGCTGCAGCATGCAGGAACTTCAGACACATTTTGAATGAAGGCAGTCACAAATGACCTTGTATTGTGAGTAGGCTCATCTGTAAAATCTAAAACTAGATTGGGGTTGGAAAAACAGGAGATCCAGCAGAGTGGTGACACAGAGAAGTTGCAGAGTATCTTTTCTGGGGCAATGAAAATGTTCTAAAATGTGGTGATATTTGTGCAATACTGTAAGATTGTGAATATTCCATAAGTCATCAGGTTGTATATATTAAATGGTGAATTGTTTGATATGTAAGGGATATCTCAAATAAAGATATTAAGAAGAAGTAAAGAGAGCTCCAAAGAATTGAGAAGTAGCACATATAAAGAGCAGCCGCCACCTAAGGCTAAGGTACCAGTTGAGTGCCTCTTCTCTGGCCCTGCCCTAGCCAAGAGCTAGATCTGTTGTAGTGGGTTCGCTGCGTGTCAAAACTTGCTAGAAATCTTTGCCAGAAATTTGCCCTCCAGGCTGCTTAGGAAAAGCTGCTTACAGGGCATCTCACCAAACCCACTCCTGCAAAACTGCTCCACAGAGGTGCTCATGGAAGCTGCCAAGTGCTACATGCTGGAAAAAGTGTGAGTGCTGGAAAAGATACAGGTGCTGCCGGACCCTACACCGAACAAACCTTTTCCCTCCTGCCTTATCTCTTTATGGCCCTATACAGACAAGGCCTCACATCTGGCCAGCTAGCAAAGGAAAATGGGGCCCAGGTTCATTTATGCAGGTTAGGCAAAAAGGAACAATTTTTTTAAAGCCAAGAGGCAATAAATCTGTAAGCCTACAGTGGTTAATTGGGACGTCATTTGTTTGCTTAGGTTTTCCATTCCCTTTGGAGAATTTAAGGTTATTTTTGCCACCTTTGCTACTGTGGGTTGGGGAAAGTGGGAGGGCATCCTTGGGCCAATTTTCTAGCATCCCAGCTCTTTCTATCCATTTTTGCATCTTTTTCTATTCCATTTGCTGGATGGTCTCTTGCAACTGATGCTGGATCTCTTGTAACTTTTATGCCTCTGTAGTTTTTACTTTGTTCTGGACAGCCTTTTAAACTTAAGATGATTAGCTTCATGTAGCTTACTTGCCTCTTTAATTGTTTCATTTACTTACATCATTTAAAATCAAGGTTCTTACTATATTTATAGCAGTGTCCACTTTCTTCTGTACCATTCAGACTTTTACTTTTTTGATGGTGTTAATTTTCATTATTGACTTTACTGAAGTCTAATTTCGTTTAAATAATTGTGTTGTTTTACTCTTTTTATCTGGAGATCGTCCTTTAGTCTCTGCCCCTAGTTCTTGTATAGAGCCATTGGTCGGGTAGGGCTGTCATTGCCCCTAGACAAGTGCTCGGCTGCTGAGACACATCATGATACCCAATTTAGTGATCCTGTCTATTCAGTGACAAATTCTGTTGTGTAGTCTTCATTTCTTGTGCTCTCCTTCTTTCTTCTACTTTTGTTACTGTGTTTTTATATAGATGATGTGTGTACTGATTCCTTATTACTTAGACATAACTGCTCCTCTCTCTGGAAAACCTGCCCTCTCCCCCATGCTGGGGTTGAACCTGGGGCCTCATGCATGCTGCTAACCACAAACTCTGCCATTGAGGCCCCATACTCTCTAACCCCCACAGTCTGTCATTATTTTAGAGCTGCAACATAGTGTATGTGATTGAAGTCAGATCAGCTGAATTTGAGTCATGGCTCTGTCACTTTAACTTCTCTGTTCCTTAAGTTTTTTTTTTTTTTTTTCTAACTGTAAAAAAAGGGAAATCACTTTATAGGCTTGATAAGATTTAGCAAGTTAAATCACGCAAAAATCTTAAAGCTCAGGCTGATTCATAGTAACTGCTATATGAATATTGGCAAGATTGTTTTATTCCTCACAGTTACTTGTAATTAAAGCTTATAGTTCTGAGTAAAATAATTTCATGTGAATTAACTGCTTAAGTTTGCTTGGTCATGCATAGTCTGAATAGCAGTGGTATGTTCAGCAAAAACAAAAAAATTTTTTTTTAAACATGAGCATTTTTGGTTGGAGATAATAGCTTAGCAGTACAAATGCCCCTGGCAAGGTCGTAAGTTTGATCCCCAGTAACCCCCCCCCCAAATAAATAAATAAAAGAAAAAGCATTTCAGTAACTGTTTTGGAACTTCTAATTTTCTTTCTTTCCTTTTTTTTTTGGTCTTTTAGAGACGGGCTCTCACTATGCAGTTCAGGCTGGCCTTGAACTCACTTTGTAGCCCAGGCTGGTCTTGAGTTTGTGGTGACCTCTTGCCTTGGACTCTGAGTGCTGGGATTACAGGCGTGCACTGCCCACCCTGGACCCTAACTTCTAATTTCCTTGCCTCAGAAATATTCACAAAGGTATACCTTAGAAGTCCTTTGTGATTTTTTGCTCTACATGATTTTGTCATAGTTGAGTTCATATCCATTATGGCTGACATTTGAAAAGAAGCAAAACTGATATTTTAGACTAATCTAGAAATTGTTGTTGCCAGATATAGTTCAGAAAATAATCATGTTGTAGGATATTTTAGGAATAGCAAGACTTGTTAGTGCGGTTTGTTTATATTGGTTTAGGTTCTTGCACTTTTTTTTAACTTGTGAGTTGAACTCAGGACCTCATGCTTGCCAGTCAGGCACCGTTCTGCTGAGCTGTGTCCCCAGCCCCATTTTTTGTTTTTTGAGACAGGGTCTCTGTGCTCCAGGCTAGCCGTGAACTCATTGTATAGCCCAGGCTGGCCTCAAACTTGCAGCAATCCTCAGGAAGCTGGGATTTCACCAGCCACCATACCTAGCAGAGTTTTCTTTTTATGGGAAATTAAGGTAATTAGCTTCATGTAGCTTTTTAGCTCTCTTTAAGCATGCTATAAATGAATCATCAGTTAGTAAACAGGTAGCTTTTGAGCACCTACCAGGAGTAAAATGGTAAGCCACACTTTTCTTGCCTGGAAGAGTCAGAAAGTAAATGCTAAATTTTTGTAAATACTTCAAAAATTTTTGTACTATCAAAAAGGGTAGGGCTGTATTAGGCACAGCAGGCATTACCAATAGAAATTCTTACCTAACCTGAAATGTGTAGACAGGTAATGCTTCCCTGTGGAATGGATGAACCTTTAAGCTGAGATTTAAAAGGGAATAGGAGTTTGTTAGTGGAAACAGTGAGGTCGTGGGGACCATGATCTGAGCTTAGGAGAGAATGGTAAGTTGAAAACACTAGAGGTGCAGTATTGGTAATTCATAAGAGGTGAGGTATAAGAAAGATAAGTCTGAAGTGGGATTAGGACTGTATTGTAAGGGTAGTGGGAAGTTTGTGAAGTTTAAGTCTGGAGTAAACCATATATTGATTGCTTTGTGCTCACAGAGAGGGGCAGGAACGGAGGTACCAGACTTATTAGGAAGCTGTTTCATGAGTCCAAATGAATTATAGAGTTTTGAAATAGGATGATGGAGAGAAGCGGAGGAATGGAGGGCTTCAGGGCACGGAAGAATCAATCTGATGAAGAAAGTAAGAGACCTCTATACTGAAAACTATAGTACTCTGAAAAAGGAGTTCGAAAGGGTATCAAAAAATGGGAAGATAAGGGCGGGGATTTGGCTCAGCAGTTAAGTGCCTGCCTGACAAACACGGGGTTGTGAGTTCAATGCCAGGTACAAAAAAGAAAAAAAAAAAAAAAAAAAAAAAGGAAAGGAACACTAACCCTTGTGCTTGGGTAGGAAGAGCCAGTGTAGTAAAAGTGGTCTTACTCCCCAAATTGTTATACGTATTTAATGCAATCCTGATCAACATTCCAACAGCATATTTCACAGAATTAGAAAAAGCAATCCTAAAATTCATTTGGACCTTGGAGAGACTTAGAATAGCAAAAACAATATTGGGCAATACAGTCAAGGCAGGGTACATCATAGCCTCTGACTTGAAATTATACTACAGAGCTACTGTGATAATAGCATGGTACTGGCAAAAAAGCAGACCTGCAGATTGATGGATTAAAAGACACAGAAACAACTCCAAACACACTCAGCTACCTTGTCTTTGACAAAGGAGCCAAACACCTTTACTGGATGTCTTGTTACTTTTTACTCGTTGCTGAGACAAAATACCTGAAGCCCAAGTTGGGAAAGGAAAGATTTATTTCTTATAGTTTTTGGAGGTTTCAGTCCACACTCAGTTGGCTCCAAGGCAGGCTGGCATGGCTGGACGGCAGTTCATGGTGGCTGCAAACAGCAAGCAGGAACCAGCAAAGAGCAAGACACACCTTCTTCCTGCCATTACATCACATCCTGGCTCCACCCCTGTGTGGGTGTAGCACTGACACCATCAATCCAAGCACTAGACAATGAACCATCACAAGTGCACAGTGTAAACTCATGAGGCCTGGGGGACACAGACATCAACCATGACACTGGAAGAATAGTAGCCTTAATATATGGTTCTGGAAAATGTGGCTTTCCAGGTGCTGAAGATTAAAGCTAAACCCCTATCTCTCACCATATACTAAACTAAAATCGAAATGGAGCAAGCTTTGAATATTAAATCAGAAACAGTGCTAGAAGATAGAATATGTAGAACTCTTGAGGACATTGTTTTAAGCAAAGAGTTTATGACCAAACTCTGTTCATATAGGAACTATCACAAAGAATCAACAACTGTGACCTCATCTTATTAAAAAGCTTTTGCACAGCAAGAGAAATCAGCAGCAAAGTGAAGAGACAACGTATAGTGTGGAAAAATTTTTTTGCCAGCTGTATACCTCAGACAAAGGAGTAATATCTAGCATATATAAAGAACTCATAAAAATCAGAATTCTCAAATTTAAAGACCTGATCCAAAAATGGTGACATTCTGCCTTGGAGCTGCTCAACCATGAACTGAAGTCTCGGAAACTATTAGCCAAATTAAGTCTTTTCTTCTTTAAAGTGCATATGTCAGATATTTTGTCTCAGCAGTGGAAAAGCTGAATAATACATATGTAGTGGGTGAGAATGAAGAGGAGCAGCTGAATTGCTCTTCTTTCATCTGTCAGCATTTTTATGTTTTCTGGTCTTTACTACAGTGGATCCTTAAGTTACAACTAGCCTCATACACAAATACCTTGGGTTGCAACTGGAATTTTAGGTTTAACCTAGGACCAAAGTCTTGAATTACAACCTGAATGTCAGTCACTTGTGCATTTGCAAACAAAGACTCATGAGGCTAGAAAAGGATGTCAGTGCATGTAAACATCAGTCTGAGCCTGCATGCATGTTTGTAGATGTGATTTTGGTTAGTGCTTTATTTAATCGCTATGATTATTGCTATCAAAATAGCCCCCAAAAAGCTAGAAAAGAAGGTACGGAAGGGAAGGTAAAGGAAGCAATCACAATAGAAAAGAAGGGAATTGTGGAGAAGTATGCATGGTGTTCATGTGACCCATCTTGCTGATATGCACAGCATGTTGAAATTCACCATCTCAATAATCTTTCTTTGGGGGGCGGGTACTGGGGATTGAACTCACAACCTAACACTTCGCAGGTACACTTTTGTGCCACTGAGCCAAATCCCCGGCCTACCACCTCAGCAGTCTTATAGAGCCAAGATTTGTAGAAGGACAAAGGCTTACCACTCAAGGCTCGTCTCATCATGGGCAGTGCTCCTGTTCACTCACAAGATTTGGAAGAATTGGCTAAAAATTCCTATGGCTTGAGGTCAAGTTCCTCCCACCTAATAAAACTCTTCTACAGCAGTCTTTTAGATGCTATATATCTGAGGTGCTTCCAGATGGTCTCTGATACAGAGTTAACCCTTAAAGAGTTCTGGAAGGAACATTACAATGTTCTTTCCTGTACAGGGTTAACTGAGAAATCCTAGGCCAGTCTGTCTCTAAGGACCCTGAGATCTGCCTGGGCGAAAGTGTGGTCTAAAATTATACAAGAGAAGCACTTTGAAGGCTGTGTAGAGGCACCTCAGCTTTAAATTGGCCCTGTGGTTGATGACAAGATCACTGTAGCAGAGTCCATAGGCTTGCAGGTAACAGTGATGGTGGGGAACTGGCTGAGGAATACAGAGGAATAATCTACAGAAAAACTTCAGCAACTTCTGGCTGAGCAGCAGAGAATGGCAGCTGAGGAGCTTTCTGAAGAGGAGGGGGAGCATCAACAGTCAGTGTAGCCATTCCCTTCTTCTGAAATAAAGGAAATTCTGAAAAGATGGACAGAGTTGGGGGCTAGGGATTTAGCTCAGCGGCATAAGCGCCTGCCTTTCAAGCAGGCAGTCATGAGTTCGATCCCCGGTACCGATAAAAAGGAAAAAGACAAAAAAAAAAAAAAAAAAAAAGAGCTACAAACATTTGTAGAGAAGAGTACCCAGAGAAAAAGCCAGTCATTGAGTTCACTTGCTTAATGACAGTGTCATGTCATACTACAGAGCAGTATTGAAGAAAAGGTAGAAACAGACAAATTAAACAAGTTTCTAGTTCTGAAAAGATTGAGACCTAGTGAGCCAGAAGCAGATCCTAGTGGGCTACAGAGAGGAAGGACACCAGAGAGCCAGATTCCTGATGTTCTTATGGATGGGGACTCTCTGTTCAAACGCTAAGCACTTGCCATTTTATCCTCTCTTTCTGCAAGCCAAAGATGTCAACTTGAGTGGTGAGTGTAGTATGAAATTGTTGTTTCTGGTAAACTAGGCACATTTTATAATTTTTTAGTGACTATAATAGGAAAATTATTGATCACACATACACCCTTTTGTTTATTATGAAAAGGTTAAGGGTTGCTTTGTAGAACACAACAAAATTATGGGTATTTCCATTATTATGGGAAAAACAGTCTTGACTTATAACCAGTTACAGCCAGCCCTCATGATGAATTGATTTGTAAGTAAAAGATCCACTGTTATTTTTCATAGTTGAGCATATTATATTTAGATCAGTTCTTTTCTTTGGTGCTATGGGTCAGATCCAGAGCCTTATTCATGTTAGGAGAGCCTTCTACCACTGAACCATATCCTCAACTGATGCACATCAGCTTTTTCATTCAACACTATCGTAACATTTCCCTTAGGGCTGGGAATTTAGCTCAGCGGTGCCAGCACTTGCCTGGCAACTGTGAGGTTGTGAGTTTGATCCCTGGTGCCTATCAAACAAATAAAACAAAAAACAAACACACAAAAACCCTTTCCCTATATCATTAAATTTTTTCATAAGCAACATTTTAAGTAACCATGTAAACTTTCATTTGTTTAAGTATTTAAACAGGTTATTTTGAACATTTACTTTGAAACTATTTTTCCTTTTTAATTCTTCATTTTGAAATAATTTAAGGCTTACAAAAAAGGTTGCAGAGACATTGCAAATAATTCCCATATATCCTTTGGCTAGTCTGGGATGATATCTGCAGATTTCCTTATTGTGAAGTTACTCTTTTCCCCTTTGCAACTAATAAATATTTTCTGAGGAGTTACTTAAAAACCATATAATATACTAGTTCTCATAAAACTTTTACCCATTAATTTTGGTGTTTTTAGCTGAATTATTACTCTAATTGTTGCTAAATGGTAACTTTACATGTCATTATACTGTTCCTTCTACATTCATTAGTTGGCATTTCACTCCAAAGAGAACTTTCTATTAATATTTATGAAGTTCTTATTTAATGGATTGCAATTCATTATTATCATGAGTATTTATCTTGATGTTCAATTGTTCTAGATCTGGCCAGAATATGACCCTCAAAGCTGGCTTTTTTCTTCTTTTGACATATTCTCGCTCTGAGCACTTTTTTACTTTTAGACAGAAGATGATCCAGGCTTATCGTATGCCTGTTCTGCATCAAGTGTGAAGCCAGCCATTCTTTTGGGGATCCCTGCTTTCTATAACAGTGAAATAAAGCCCAACACCTTGATGCTATATATGCTCATTGCTATTGGATATAACGACTGATTTTGTGTCCTTTCAGTGGACAGATTGAATGTATCCATATATGTGCACATATGCTACCTGCGTCTGTATTTATTTTTATGTCTTTATATATTGAAAATCATCAAGGCAAGTGTGGTGGAACACACACAGCATTCAGGAGACTGAGGTAGAAGGATCACAAGTTTGAGGCCAGCCTGGGCTGTATAGTGAGATCAAGGTCATCCTTGATCTCACTACAGAGTGAGACCCTGTCTCAAAACCAAGCAAGCAAGCAACCAACCAAACCATCAGTTTACACTGATACCTCCAATTCTGGTAAATACCAAGAATGAATTCTAGTTTTTCCCTTTCCGTATTTGTAACTCCCTTCCCCATCACTGGGAAATCCTCCTGCCATTTTAATTATTTCTGTGGTCAGCCCTAAATTTCCTGTTACTCCATGTCCTGACCCCTCACATGGTCAGATGTCCTCCATGCCCCTTTGCCCTAGGCATGTGTGCCTACCTTGTTTTGTCCCTCAAGCCTAATGCTTTTGAAATTGAGTTATATAGAAAGGAGAAGGCAAGGGCTCTGTGCTTTTTGTGGTTGTATAATACTTCATTTTGTGAGTGTACCATAGTTCATGATCCTCTTGAAGGACAGTTGGAAGACTTAGACTTACTCTGTTATGTTGCAAAAAGTGCTGTATGTAATAAATAGTCATTTTGATAAGATTTTGTATTTTTTTTTATTTAAAGAAAAGGAAACAAAAGAATACATGGAGATAAAAAAAGGTAGAAATAATACAAACTTACAGAAAAACAAACGGTAAGAAATTGCTGGTTGATAAGTTACACATTGTCATCTTAGAAATAGCTGTTCATGTTATAGGATTAAAGTATTTAGAATGACATTCATAAAGTGACACTACAAACCCTTAAGATTTTGTATTTTTGTCAGTGGACTTTGGAATATTTTCTTAGAAGTGAGACTGGTTAAAGTATAAAAAGCCTGTGCAATTCTGTTGTTACTAAATCTCTTCCACCACCAGCAGTGCATAATTATCTTTTTCTCTGTCATAATCCTATCACTAGAAAGTTTGTCAAAAGTTTGGCTTAGTACTGAATTTGAAATGATATTCCTCTTTTTTGTTTTGTTTTTGAGACAAGTTCTCACTATGTATTTTAGGCTTTGAACTCATTAAGTGGTCCAAACTGGCTTCACATTTGTGACAACCCTCCTGCCTCAGCCTCCTGAGTGCTAAGATTACAGGTGTGTGCCACCATGCCTGACAGAAATGAGATTTAAAAAAAAAAATCTTTGAATATTCTTGTTCTTATCTTAGCGGCTTGAACTTCTGCGTTCTTATTTGTACCTTTATATATTGTCCACTTTTGAAAATCGGTTTCTTCTACTTGCTTCATTTAAAGTTCCCATTTCTAAGTGGAAAAGACAAAATAGTGGATTGGCTCAGCCATGTCACCGTCACATTTGTTGAAAGAATGAGTAAATTTATTGACTGTTGTGTGTCCACTAGAGCCTTGGGCTATGGTTACTAACAGACTGTGACAGTTTAGATGTCACATCTGCATTCAAGACAGAAGGTGACACCAGCCATTTCAGCCCTGTTCTACAGGGAAAGTAAAAACTTTCCAAGAACCATTGCATTTTTGTAGGCAGTCTGATTCTACCTAAATTTTTAGTTATTTTCAAAAGTTTGATCCTGAAAATACCTGATCCTTTGTCTTGTTGGAAATGCAATTCTCTGATTTCTATTTTATTTTGAAAACATTGTACATTTGCTATTTCATTTTATGTTGTTATTTTGTTACGTTATGTTTTTTACTTTTAAGTTACTTTATATTATTTTTTTATGTTACATTAAGTTATGTTATTTTAGGTACTGGGGATCAAACTCAACCTTGTGCTTGCCAGGCAGCTTAGGCTGCTGAGCTAAATCCATAGCCCTAGCTTTTTTTATAAATATAAAAATTATATATATGAGTAAATAGATTGTGAAAAGCATCCTTTCAAAGCCCACTTTTCAGCAGTAATGGTTTTCAGTAGTTTGGTGCCTATTCTTGTATATATGTGCTTTGTGCTTATGTTTTGAATGATGCTGTTGTCCTTGTTGTTGCCAGACATACTAGCCCAGAACTAACTTTTTCGCTTAGCAGTCTGTGCTAGGCATTTTCTCCTTGTTGGTACATAGTTCATGCTTTCTGACTAATGCATCATTTTCTGTACTCCCTGACCTCAGAGTCATCATCAAACTTCTTTCCTCTGTGCACTAGACGCTGACCTCCTGCGAACAGCAACATCCAACTCCCTTATCCTTTGCTTCCACTTGAATTAGTTGATAAAATGCACTAATAGTTCATAAGAGGACAAGAGGTGGGAGAGATCATGGTACTGTTTACCCTGCTATGCACCTTGCCACAGTCCTAGTAGCAGCCATGCTCCGCCTACCACTGCTGACGCTGGGCAGCCTTGTCTCTCTCTCCCCAGTCAGCTTTTGTTGGCCTGCAGGGATGACACCCTTCTCTCCTCTTGCCCTTTCAGTCCAAAGATTAGAAACAGCTTCTTACCACTGCTAGTCTCTGGGTGCTTGATTTTTCCTTGTGATGCCTTTAAACCCTGCTCACAAGCGGATCACAAGGGTATAAAATTGCTGTCCTTGAACTTCCTCCAGTATCTCTCTGTTTGTGGTTTGCCGTCAGCACTGCCACTGCAGCACTGGGGAGACGCACTGTCATTTGTTTGTTGGCTCCCAGTTGGTGGGCACTCACACTGGTCAGATTGTTTTGCTCCCATAGTCAGGGTTACTAAGGAGCACCCTGTATGCACCTTTTCCTGCGTGTTGAAGTATTGCTTGAGGGAAAAGCCATAAAGTGCTGGGTCAGGGTGATGAGTGCTGTGAATTTCAATAGATAACTTCCAAATTACTCCCCAAAGAATTTACCAACTTCCACTTTTACAATGTGTTGTTTATTTTTTAATAACAAAAAAATTATGGAGGTAATACTTGTGACTGCACGAAAGTCTATAAAGGGAAGTGAAGTTTTCCCCAAGATCACGATCACTTCGCATATTCCCATCCTATTCCCCAGAGCAACCTGCTGAGGTTAGCTATGTAGCCTCTCAGGCCTGCCTCGCCCTTTTTTATACTTATATGCTTATCATAAGATGAATTGATATATATGTATATCAAGTATTCTGGCATATATTTGTGTGTATCTATATGCGAGAGCTAATTTCTAGGCTCTTCCATTGTCTGTGCCTGTCTCAGTACACGCTATCTTAATAGTTACAGCTTTTAGTTGGTTTTGAATTTGAGAAGACAAATTTTCTTGTGAGATATTGTGAAATACGTATTTGATCTTTATCCTCTTTCCTAGCATAGAACTCGTAAGACTTTTGGGATCTCCAGAGTGATCTCTTTATGGATGCTAGAGAGTTGACTGGGTCTGGCAGCCCCAAGGGTTAGGGTCAGGGCAGGATGGGATCAGGGCAAGGTAAGGATTTGAGTACGTTAGGGGCTGATCTGAAAGACTTAGGTAGCAGTCATTGCTGGAAATTTCCCCATTGTCCAGTCTTCAGCAAAGGAAGGTAGATTAAGTCAGTCACTCATGACCGCTGATGTAATCAGTAATGAAACCTTTGTGAATAAAGAAGGACAGAGTTCACAGAACTTCCAGATGGCAGAACTCGCGAAGATTCCTCGGTTGGCATCCCCAAAGAAGAAATGGAAGCTCTGGGTTCTTTCTCCCAGCCCTTACCCTGTATATCTCTTAATGTGTATATTTCGTGATACCTTTGTAATAAACTAGTAAATATGAATAAATGTGTCCCTGAGTTCTGTGATTTGCTCTGGCAAATTGGTTAAACCTAGAGGGAGTTGTGATATTATTGATTTTTTTTAAGTGGGTCAGAACTATAGATTAGTGACCTGGGACTTGTGACTGGCATCTGAAGTGGTTGGAGAGTCTTTTGGAACTGAGCTTTCAATTTGTGGGATCTCATGTTTTATGATTTGTATCTAGGTGTCCCCGCAAAGCCTCCTGTGGTCATAGGTGGGGCTTTTCAGAGGTGGCTAATGCAGAGTGTGTGATTGATTCATAATTGCTAGGATTCAGGGTGCTACGTTTAAGGGTGGATGATTACTAAATCAGCCCACTGGTTGATTTGGCACTGCCCAAATCCTGGTAGCTTGGGCACAGTATAAGGGACAGAAAGAGACTTGTCTTGTCCCTTGCTTGTGCCCACGATGAACTGTTTCTTCTCTGCCACCCTGCCTTGGAGCCAGTCAACTATGCGCTGACCTAAACAAACCTTTCTCCCTTTAACTTTGGGTGTTAGGTACTTTGTCTTAGCAATGAGAAAAGTAACTAAGACAGGAAACTCCAGGTGGATGATTTCAGAAGAGAACTGGGTTAGAGGACACCCAACTGGTATCTGTGACTGGGTCACTGCTTGCTTGATGGGTGGGGACAAACCCACATACACAGGGCCTGCTGTCAAAATGTGTTGTTACCTGTGTACCTGCATCTACCTGTAAGCCCAGCACTTCATAGTCTGAGGCAGGAGGGTCTGGAGTCTGGGGCCAGCCTGGTCAATGTAAAAGAAAAAAATTGTTGAGGCCGGAAATTTAGCTCAGTGGTGCAGCACCTGCTTGGCAAACCTGAAGTCCTGAGTTCAATTACCAGTACCAAAAAAGAAAAAAAAAGGTATTGTGAACATGTAGAAGAAACTGAATTTTGCCTCCCCCGACTACCACCACACTTTTTCTACTTGTTTCTAGATTATTTCATTATTTTTCAATGAAAAAAATTTCTTGGTCTAGGTATGAACTCGTCAGATAATCTGTTTTTTGTTTTTGATACCAGGGTTTGAACTCACAACTTTGCGCTTGCCAGGGAGACCACTGAGCTAAATCCTCAGCCCCTCTTCAGATAATCTTCAGACCAAGTACTATATAAAACAAATCATGGATTTGTGTGTATGTGTGGTGTGTGTGTGTGTGTGGTGTGTCTTTTTTTTTTTTTTTTTTTTTTTTTAACTTTTAACTTGTAATCAGTACCAGGGATTGAACTCAGGACCGCCTGCTTGCAAGGCAGGTGCTTATGCCGCTGAGCTAAATCCCCAGCCCCTGTGGTGTGTCTTTTTAAGATAGTGTTTCACTATGCAGTTCAGGCTGGCCTTGAACTAGCAAAGATCCTTTTGTCTCAGCCTCTTGAGTGCTAGGATTACAGGTGTGCACCACCTTGTTCATCCTCAAATCATGGATTTTGACAAGACTAATTTATCGGGAACTGACATTTTAGGAGGTCAGACACATTTCCAGTATTGAATATTTTTAGTAACCTGTTATGTTTGTTTACTCAGATTTGTCTTTGGCGAAAGCCTTACTCATTTCTTTCCAAGTTTTAAGTATTTTATAGATTTTATTGTCATCCAAATGCAATATTTTCACCTTATATTTTCTATTTGGATGTGGAGAAGGCCTACTTTATTAAATTTCCTATCAATTCTAAGCTGACCATGGTGGTCCACTCCTTTATTTCCAGCTGCTTGGGAGGCTGAGGCAGGAGGATCATTTGGGCCCAGGAGTTTTAGATCAACCTGGGCAACATAGTAAGGTCCTTTCATAAAAACAACAACAAAATTCCAAGGTTAGAAATAGAAGCATCCAGTCCTCTCAATTCCTGTTAGGTCTAATGGTTTTTCAGGGGATCCTCTTGATTTTTCTAGATGGACAATAACTTTTCACCTCATTATTATTATTTTTCTTGAGTTTCTTTGGGCCGGGACATCTGGTTTAGCTGGGGGGTGGAGGTGGTAATCTGATTGTTGGAGGTCTTCTTGGCTCAAGGTTCACTTAAGGTAGGTTTCAGAGTGTGCACAACAAGATGTCCCACATCATGGAGTGGGAGTGGAGGATGGATTCCAGAGAGCCTCAGGGAGAGAAACAAGGCAGCCTTCAGTGAGGCTGAGAATGACCTGTGCACAGCACAGGTGAGGTTAGGTGACAAATCTATGGCAAGTGTGCTGCGGTGGCCGTTTGTGTCATTGAAAGCTCTAAAAGTTTGCCATTACTGGCTAGGAGAAGTAGGGGATGAGTTAAAGAGTAAATCAGGGTTCAGTCAGGTGCTGCCAGGCTTTGGGGCAATTACTTTATTCAGAGGAATGGAGAATTGAATGAGAAGTGTGTTAGGCAAAATGGCCCCCTAAAGATGTCCAGGCATCCACCCCTGGACCATGTAAATATGTTGCCTCACATACAAAAAGGGACTTTCCAGATGTAATGAAGGCTGTGACCCTTTATAGGCAGATTATTCTGGATTATTCAGATGGATCCAAGCAGTCACTTGAGCCCTAAAAAACAAAGAACGGATGTCTGAAAGCAAAAGCAGGATGCTTATAAAAGGGTAAATTGGAGAGATTCAAAGACTGAGAGACTCAGTCTGCCACGGGTGAGGGGGAGCTGTGTGGAAAGTCAGAGAGGGTTATGGGCCCCTGCCTGATGAAGCAGCATTGTTACGGGAGCCTCAGTCCCTCAGCTATAAGGACTGAGCTAAGTCAGTAGCCAGAATGAGCATAGAGTGGATTCTTCTCCAAAGCCTTGAGAAAGATGCCCAGCCCCACCGTCCCTTGGCTTTGGATTTGTAAGACTCTAAGCAAAGGACCTTGCTAAGCCATACTACATCCAGACACTGGGCTTTGGAACCCTAACATAAGAAATCTGTGTTGGTTAAACTGTTAGGTATTCAGTACCTTATTTCAGCAGCAGTGGAAAAGTTATACAAGGAACTTTGAGCAGGGGAATAACTTTATGGGATTTTGTGTTATTAAGGAGATAACTGTGTGTGCTGTGCACAAAATGGATCTGGACAGTGTAAATTTGGAGGCAAGGAAACTGGTTTTCTGGGAGTACAGTGATGGTGTGGACTGGCATAGTGATGGTGGGAAGGGGTTGGAATTTGAGGTTTATTTGGGGGGCCACAGTTGCCTGCTTGACCAATGGCTGGATGTTTGGGATGAAGGAGGCTGCCTGTGTGACTGCCCGGATGACTGGCTTGGCTGCTGGGTGATGCTGAGGCCTTGATGAAGATGAGTGGCTTGGAAGATGCCATGGCATGACCTCCATGCCTTGATTACTTTAACTTCTAAGATCTATTTTTTCCTTTTTAGATCATGTAGACAATTGTAAATCATGTGAAGATGGGACTCCTGGTATTTGTGCGCAATCTGCTGCTAGCCCTCTGCCTCTTTCTGGTACTGGGATTTTTGTATTATTCTGCGTGGAAGCTGCACTTACTCCAATGGGAAGACTCCAGTAAGTATAGTCACTCTAGCCCACTCTAGACTGTTCCTGCAACAAGAACAGCCTGTTGCAGGTCTGTTATGCAAGTTTGTCATGCAGCTGAATGCTGTCATAGTTTTCAGAGATGGGCGGTTAGTATAATCTGAACATTTCTGGGACTTTTGATTAGAGATTGCCTAACCTTTTAGTCGCTCCAGGCTGAAAGCACCTTTTTTTTTTTTTTTTTTTTTTTCTTCCTTTTTTTAACTGCATGCATGGCAAATCTTAATTCCTTTTTTAAGCCCAGTGAGATTGTGCTGTTATTCAGTTAAAACCTGCACTACACCCATAACTCTAGTTCTTGAGGTTTTTGTTCTTTTTAATTTCCGTATTGTAATACACTCTTAATTTTGCATTTATTGCCCTAGGGTTTGATGTTGAAGTTTTTTTTTTTTTCTTCTGCTCTCAAAACATGTATCTTTACTTTTGAATTTTCTGTTTTCATTTCAATATTGTCTTTTGTTTTTTTTAAACTTTGTCTTAATATTTGGTGTTGAATCTGCATCTAACTAAAATTTTGGCTGCTTCTTTTTTTTTTGGTACCGGATATTGAATTTATAATTTCACGCTTGCCAGGCAGGTGCTTGTGCCACTGAGCTAAATCCCCAGCCAAATTTTGGCTTCTTTTTTCCTACTCAGTGACTTCCGATCCTTTTTCTTCCATCTGTGTGTTTGATTTCGTGTGTTACACAATGTACACTGGCACTAGCCTGCCGCTATGCTGAGGCCATAACTTAGGCCCTAACTAAAGAATTATTCCTGTGAGATAGTTCATTTATTTCTTATGGCCCAAACTACTAAGCAACTTCAAGCCAAGTTTTAAAATAGTGTCTTTTTTTTTTTTTAACAATGTTTTATCTTTTATTGTTTTACATAGAATTTTAAGTGCTTCTTTAATGTTTAGCTTATAATTATCACTAATTACTTTATGTTTCAAGAATGTATTCAAATTTCTCTGTACTTTTGTTTGTTTGTTTGAGACAAGGACTCATTGTATAATCCAGGCTGGCTTTGATCTTGCTGTGTAAACTAAAGAGGTCTTGAGCACCTGCTTCTCCTGTCTTAGCCTCCCAAGTGCTGGGAATACAGGCATGTGCCTCCACACCTGGCTTCACTTGTTTTTAAAGTTAAGGAAACTACCCAAGATAAGCAGCCATTTGAGCCATGCTGTGTATAATGGTGTTTTCTGTATTCAGAATGGTGATTCCTCTGTGTAGAAAATGTGTGCAAGGAACAAAGGTCTCCTTTCTCATAGAAAATATAACAAAGGTTTAGATAACATTTTCCTAGGCAGGGAAAGAAATTAACATTGTGGAAGATGATTGCAGTGGCAGGTATTAGGCAGACAATTCACAAGTTTTGTCTTATCTGATTTAATTCTTGCTATAATTCTGTGAAGATGTGATTATATTCCCATTTTCTAGTTGAGCAAACTGTAGCGCATAGTTTAATCTATCAAGGTTATACAGATAATTATTTTTAAAGCTAATGGAAATGGAGTTGAAAACTGAATTTCTAGCTTTAAAACCCACACTCATTTTTTTTTGAAGAGTATGATAAATGATGAAGAGAGGATTTGGTTTTCTGTTCCACCTGATAAAAAGAGAAGAAAGGAGCTCAGAGAAGGAGTGGTAGGAAGTGTCAGAAGGAGGGTGGAGAAAGGAAAAGGAGGAACGTAGGAGGAAGGGAAGAGAGGAAGAAAGTCGTCCACAAGAAGACTTGAGAGGTTATTTTGGAGGTGAGGAGGTGGTACTGAGAAGTGCTGTAGGTAAGCTTCAGTAGTTTATTACTAGTTCCTTGCTGTCTTTAGTAGTGTTAGCTAACTATCCAATATTCACAGCATTTCTGATATTCTGTCTGTTAAGCCTCTTAGATATTTGATTTTGAGTAGATTATTATCTTTTTTAGGGGTGGTACTGGGAATCAAACTTAGGGTCTCAAGCTTGCCAGGCGGGCACTGTGCCACTGAGCCATATCCCTGGCCCCTAGTAGGTTTATGATAGCAGTATTTCTGTGCTTCAGTATCAGGACAGAATAAGAGGAGCAATGCTGGGTGGCTTAGTGTCAGAGAGTGTCAAACAAGATCAAGAGGAAGGAGATTCTGGACCCAGATGATTGCTATGTTGTGAATTTTAAGTTATGGTTTAGTAATATTGACGATGATGATGCTGTCCTTTTTTCTGAGGACCTTAGAAGACACTTTGAAGTTTGAATATAAATGTTCTTAACATTATGAGGTACTTTTTCTTCTTTTTTATAATAATAAAATTACCTATTGAATTTCTTCTATGATGAGAAAAGAAACTAGAGTTTTATTTACTACATTATTTATCCAGTACTCATTCCTTTGATAGTCTATGTACTGTCCCAGGTAAACTGGATATAGATGAACATACCCACTGTGACTGAAGTATATGGTGAATATTTAAAGTTTGTTTTGTTTTGTTTTTTTGGGGACAGTCTCACTATGTAGTTGATGCTGGTCTTGAACTCATGGTGATCCTCTTGCCTCAGCTGCCTGAGTGCTGGGATTATACTTGTGTGCTACCTCATCTGGCTTTAAATTGTTAAAGTTTATTACAGTAAAAGCCACATTGCCCAGGTGTGGTGATGCACACCTGTAATCTGTAATCCCAGCACTCGGGAGGCTGAGGCAGGAAGATTGTTGCAAGTTCGAGACCAACCTGGGCTACATAGTGAGCTCAAAGCCCAGCCTGAATTGCGTGGTAAGACCCTGTCTCAAAAAGACAGACAAAGAGACAAACAAACAAAGACACATTCTCCTCAAAATGTCCATTCTAAGTTTTCAACACACTTACCCCATGGTCTTTGCTACTTTCCTAAGCAGTTCTGAGGACCTGTGGGTCCTTATCCACCTTAGTCACCAAATCTGACACCCTGCAATTCCTGACTTATCTTCAAAATCATTATAGCCTTGAAAGGTGAATGATTTGAATTGATTTAATTGATTAAGTCAGATTTAAGGGTTTGGTGTTCTTAAGGACACTGGGCAAAATTATACTAGGAGAAAAAAAATTTCAATGTTTAAAATTCACAAGGGTTGATATATAATATACAAGGTACTTCTGCAGTCAAGAAGCAAAGGGCAACAATCTCAGTAAAAAGTAGAAAAAAAATTTGATGGGTAATTTATAGAATTGGAAAATTCATACTAAGAATATGAAGATACAATCAAATTCGTGGGCAATAAGAAATACAGGAATTAAAATAGTAGCTAGTTGTTTTGGTATACACTATAATCCTAGCTGTTTGGGAGGCTGAGGCAGGAGGAATGGGCAATTTAATGAGATCCTATATCATAATAAAGGTTCTTTAAAAGTACTGGGACTAGCTGGGCGTGGTGGCTCACCCCTGTAATCCCAGCACTTGGGAGGCTGAGGCAGGAGGATCATTGTGAGTTCGAGACCAGCCTGGGCTACAAAGTGAGCTGAAGGCCTGCCTGAACTGCAGAGCGAGACCCTGTCTCAAAAAGACCAAAAAAAAGGGGGGGCTGGGGATGTACTTCAGTAGTGAAGTGCTGGCCTGTCCTGGCATTCAGTCCCCGGTACTAACAACAACAACAAATAGCACTTTATACCTTTTAGATTGACAAGAATTAGAAAGCTAGATAATATCAAATGTTGGCAGGAATGTAAAAATACTGTAACCTATGTCCTCTGCTGGTGGGAAGATAGACTGATATAACCATTCTGGACAGCCTTCTAGTAGTAAATTAACTTAAGTATATGCATATGCTTTAGCCCAGAATATGACTATTCTCCTTTATATTTATCACAAATTTGAGGGTAGCCTGGGTTATGTATCAGACTGGACTCTATAGATAGCAAGTATCTATATTAAGAACAAACAACAAACCGAACCCCATCTCCCTCAAAGTTTGAGTGGATGCGGGTAATCTGAGCACTCAGGAGTCTGAGGTAGGAGGATCGCTGTGAGTTTGAGGCCAGTCCGGGCTACGTAGGGTTTAAGGCCAGCTTGAATTACAGAGTGAGACCTTGTCTCAAATGAACAAAAAGGAAACAAAATAGTTTTATTTCTCTAAAGTAAAAGAAAACATCAAGATTCTTAGATAGGCTTCAAAAACCATGAGCCATAAGATTAAAAACTGATAAACTTAACCAAAATTAAAATTTTCTACTCTTTGAAATATGTACTATCCAGAGAATGAAAAGGCAGGCCACAGAATAGGAAAAGATTCAGTGCTCTAAATTACAGTATTCAGTACCTTCAATAGTTATATATATTTGTATCCAAGGTACATAGTTTTTACAACTTTAGTAAGACTCTGTGCACCTTAATCAAAGATGAGTGATTTGAAGACACTTTATAGAACACGATAGAAGAATGACTCAAAGATTTGAAAATATTCTTAGCTTTATCAGTCATCAGGAAGTACAAAACCACAACATCACATTCATCAGAGCAGCTAACATTTTAAAAACATGATAACAAATTTTTGTCAGGGGTGTGAAACCAGTAGAAGGCCTTGTGTATTGTGATTGCAGATGTAAAATGGTACACCCACTTTGGAAACTGGCTTGGAAGTTTCTCAAAACAGTAAACATACACTTGCCAAATGATACAGTTGCTCTAGTCAGAAGTATTTATGCAAGAAGTATCCGTCTACATAAAGACTTGTACGTCAGTGCTGATATCAGCATTATTCCCAATATCCCCAAACTAGAAAATACTCTAAATGTCTATCACTAAGTGGATGGACAGACAAAATGTGATATATCTATCCATACAGTGGAGTACTATTCAGCAGTTAAAGAAACAAACTTGAGACTTGGATAAATATGAAACTCATATTCTGAGCAAAAAAACCCCCAAAAACCAAAACCCCAAGACAAAAAGAGTACATATTATATGGCTCCATTTATATAAAATGGAAACTAATTATTAGTAATTCAAAAACAGATCAGTAATTACCTGGCGTGAAGAGTAATGGA